TTAAACGAGTTAAACCAACGCATCGAAATTAACCCGGTTACGCGAACAGAGCATATCGAATGAGTTCGACGCGCAGCCGCTCGCATCTCTGGCGTCAGAACGTACATACACGTGTCTATTCAAGTAGATCGTGGTAGAACGTTTGCGTAGGTTGATTATCCGAGAACAGAGGAAACGGAAGCGGGACGAGTCCTCGAGGAACTCGCCGCGCCAGACGTAAAATGCACGCAGGCAAACCTTAGAGGGATCGTCCTCAGATGAGATTCATTGGAAAACGTGTAAAAAGATGTGTAAGGACGATGCTCGAAACTGAAGGAACGTTTTTATTTATTTATTTATTTATTTATTTATTTGTTGACGGACGAGCCCTTTGATCTACAATTAGGTGGAAAATCTCAGTGATAAAAGAATGACCGATGAGTCTGTCTTGGACGATTTCACGGAGAGCGACGAATGTTTTCCAGAGCGGAGAACGGCAGCGATCTCGATGCACGCGGATCGTGACACGAACAAAGAACGAGAGAGGGAGGAAAAGGGGAACGGAGTGTCTCTCTAATGAAGATTCGCTCGATGCTCTGTGTTTGCACGCACGCGGAATGCAGAGATGTAGTACGGGCAGGCCGCGAAGGGTGGTGGGTGGTAGCTGGGAGACAGGATCCGAGCCGGCGGCCCAGTTAGAGGGAGAAACGGAGGCCTCTTTGTTTCCCTTTGAAGGCGGTCGGGTAGGTACCACCTGCTACTGCCGCCGCTATCGGCGGCGGCAGCGGCGGCGGCGGCGGTAACACGAATCGAGTGCAGTGATGCTGTCCACGGTTCCACGGATTGATCCCGTCGTTCCACGTTCTCGTAGAGCCAAGAGTCGCGAAGAAGATCCACGTTCCCCTTTGACGCGGCGACGACGACGACGACGACGACGACGACGACGACGACGACGGTGTGCACGCCGGGGCTTCGATTCGCCGTGTACGCGAGTGAGAGGAATCCGATCGATCTCGAAGAGCGACGATGCTTTTACAGACGGAGCATCCCTTCTCCGTTCTTGTTCGAGAGCTTTGATCCGCTTCCTCGATCCCTGCACACGTGCTTCCTCTCTGTCCTTCGGAATCAGTGGATCGGTCTCACTCGCCTTCCGGAGAGGATCTCGTAATCTTCGGTGTTCGAAGGAACGTTCGTCGTCGACCGAACCGTCGGTTAAACGCTCGCCAAAAGTTTCGATTGGAAACTGGAAAATGTGATCTCGTCTGGTACGGCGAGAATGCCTAGAAAGAGAGCAAAATCGAGAACTGTCTCGACGAGAGCCACCGAGCCCGGATTCCCGTGAAGAGAGGAAAAGGGGGACAGAAATTACAGGAGGTAGAAGATAAACGTCTCGAAGCGAGTGGTCACCCATCGATGGGGAGGAGCGTCGTCGACCTGATGACGTTCCTGGACGTCTGCCAGCTGTACCTCCAGACGAAACGGAAGTCGCGCAACCTGTACACCCTCTGGGCCATCGTCACGTTCATTCGTACCGAAGACACCGGCGACTTCCTTCGCTGGTGCCGGGCGTACACCGTTCCCCATCTGCGACACAAGAGCGACCGCGTGACCGCCGACGAGAAAGAGAGAAAGAGAGTGGACAAGCTGATTCTGAAGCTCCTCCAGGAGTTGTTCTACTGCGGATGCATACCGCCTGGCGAGGTCGGTCCGTGACGACGACCCATCGGGACGTAAGTCCCACCAATTGTATCTAGATTTCATTGCCGGCAGTCCGACGGGCGATCGTTTCAGATGTTTCTGAAGGTATCGTCTAGTTCGGTTGATCATAAGTACGAGACGATAGTTCACAGACGGTCTTCGCAGTCGCTCGAAGCGAGTGAACTTGGACTCGAATTCAGCCTCTATAGGGAGGATCGATCTACCTGTAGATTCCATCTGGGGTTCGCAATCGTTCTTGCCCGACATTGTTTTTTGTGCGACTCCGCAGACGTCTCGTTGCAGGGTTCTTCTTTTTTCAACGGAGAGGCCCCTCGACCTGTTTGCGTCGTCGACGTCGACGAGTGTCGACGACGGCCGTCTCGACGAGCCGAGAGCCCTCCGGCGTTGCGGCGGACAGGAGCTCTCGGAAAGGATGCCGAGAACTCGCGCTCGGTCACGGAGACGACAGGCTCTGATACTGGCAATGGGTTTCCGAACAGTTACTAGATATCAGAAGTTTCGCGAGCCTATTGAAAAAGTTGTTGCACCTTGAATTCTCACGTCGAACGAGAGACTTTTGTAATTTTGTATAATTCTGAATAGGAAAGACCAAGTGTTCGTCCTGTACGAGAATCGAGCGTACTTGTACGTCGTCAACGATGACGATTCTCGCGTTTCTGATGGGCTGACGGACATTGGTACTCGTGGCGAATATCACCGATCAGATCGACGTATGTAGAGCACTTTCCGGTAGATAAAATCCAGTCGTACGGACAGCCGGTCCTTGTATCTCGTATCGTTTTCACGTTCGGGCTGTCGACGAGGAAATTGCGGACGGTCCGATCGATTGTCCAAAGCAAGATCCTGTCGCTCGTTCGGCCGACTCTGATCGCGAACAATTACCTGCTCTGTTTTCGACGTCGTTAGAAAGTTTGAACCTTTCTCGGTTCTCGGAACAAATTATTCCTGCCTCTCCAAGCGATCGACCTTCTCTCGCAGATCCACGCGGAGCCATGATTTAAACCAAGTAAAACGGAGAGTGAAACCGTTACGGCGCAAACAATGGTTTCGGTAGGAGTAACTTGGTTGTAACCGATTATGTAGGACGTACGGTGCAAACTCGGCTCTCCGGACATCGTTCCGAGGTAATCTCGAGATAGCTGTTCGCTGGTCAATACGCGATTCGTTACGATGCGACGGGGACGATAACGCAATTAATTAGGTCGAACATATGCTACCTGTGGCTTTTGGCTCGACGCGGCTCAACCGAAAATTTTCCCGACGTTCCCGACGTTTATGTCCCGATCGAAAACGAGGTATAAACGTCTCCTACGAGTTACATTTCAATATCGATCGAAAAATTCTCTGCGAAAACCAACAAGACGAAGTCGATTACTATGTCACTCGCGACGCAACGTCGAGTCGTCTACGATGAACGAACGCTTGACGTTGACGACGTTGAATGATCACTGGTCATAGGGCGAGCTCTTAAAATCGGGGACAAAGTTTGTCCACGGCTGATTTCGTTTCGGTAGAAACAGGTTGGATGATCCACTGTGTTAAAATAGCTCGAGTTCTTTTAGCTATACGGCGACCTCGAAGTTGCGCAGCGTCCGGAAACGCGGAAGTTCCCCAGGTTGTTACTTGTCGGAGGGGTGGGCAAGTCGACGGAAGTACCGGGAGACGAGTATTTTTAAACCCCCTCTTTCAAAAGACTTTGTCTCGGAACTTTAGGAAACTTTTCAACTCTGACCTTTCACGATACTTGCCGCCTTGGGGCTGACACCGTTTCACGTAAAAGTGTTTAAAAATTCCCAAAAGAGACTCGGTGCGCAATAATTGTCCAACAGTCTGAACGTGTCCAGTGACTCGTACAACGAATCCTGAATCGTCTAGGAGATTATATGGCACTTTAAACGACCATGTAAACGATGAAATTGCACTCGAAACGAGCGTCTCGTCCATTTATGCGTTTGATAACGTGTTCTAGGACCGAGGAGGATCGCGTCGCTGTAATTATCCGGCTGAACGTCGCGCAGAAACGTAAAAGTCAGCCGGGATTAAGTCGTCGCGAGTTTAATAAGCATCGACGATTCCCGTGAAACGTACGAGGCTGGGCAGGGGCACGGTGGCGTTCGATAAATGAAAGCGTCGAGAAAGTGTGAAACCGGTACCTTCAAAGCCGGAATCTCTCACCGATTACGGGATATCGATCGGTGGATGACCAAATAAAATTGACGGCTGTCTACGACTCGACTACTACTGAGAACGAAAGCGCCGCTGGAACGGAACATATTTTTGATCGCTGAACAACTTCGTAGACCGAAAGAAATTTCTTTTATTTAGTTATTTTTATTTTTGTTTATTTCACGGGTGAGAAACCTATCGAAACACAGTGTAGCAGTGATACAGAGCAGGAAGTTGAAGCTAACGGCGTAGGAGGTTGTTAAATATATGAAAGATAGACGAAGTAAATATAAAGATATCTTGCGATATCGTACGAGTTGCGATATAAAATGCATATGAAGCTAAAAGGTACTGTTTCGTCTGAGAGAACGCGAGAGGTCATTGAGGTTGATTTCCTTTAAGAGAGGAGGAGAATCAACTTTATGATTTAGTATGTTTGCAAGAAAGATTAATCCAGAGATCGTTCTTCTGTCGTCAAGTGTAATTATACCAAATTTCAGCACGATCGAGGTGTAAGCATGGTCATGGGGGGATGTTCAGTAAAAATTGAACTGAATAATTTCGTCGATTAAACACGTTCACGATTCCCATGAATCGATGTCCCAATCTTGTCAGCGAGCTCTGCGCGTTGCGAGAACAATTGAAAGAATGTTTCGACGAGGTCGAAAGAGACGCGAGTTATTTTTTCCTCCTTTGTGTCGCTGATGCGCGAGACGAGGTGTCGCGGATTGTTCCCAGCGCGAGTAAATGAGAATCTAGGGCGAATCGACATATGCCCAACGTTCGTTGAAGCGAAAAAGAAACGCGATGCTAGCGTCAAAGCGAGGAGATGACCGTTTGGGCAAGGATTTTCGTGGAGAGTAAAACGTTGGGAGGAAATCGGGACGGAGTTGACCCTGACGGTCTCGGGTGGTTCGATCCAAGTTCTCGCCTACTTAGAAGCTAGGATCGCTTTCGTTCGCCGGTGATTCTCGACCGAGACAGTCTGCTTCAAGATAGAACTCGTTCGGTTCACCCTTTTCCATCTCATTTTATTCGTTTTATGCACTTTAGTTGATAACAGGTCACATGAATCGTGACTACCGATCGTACAGGTTCTCCTTTAATCCATAAGCGTGAATCGACTATGTTTTCAGTATCGCGGACACGCGTGTGGATGAGGGTAAATCATCTCAGCGAGAGGGATGTCTGAAAGCGAGGGAGAGCACGTGGCGCGGTCGGTGGCCTTGGAACAAGCCTACGTTCACGAGGTTTACGAACAATGCGCCGAGAAGACTGTCCAAACCAGGCACTGGCCACGGATCTACCAGTTCCTCGAGGAGCTCGAACCCGGGGCACTCGTCTGTGACATTGGTAATTATATTCTGTGAGATGCAAACCGGACCGACGTCCACCGGCAGATTTGTCTAATCCGTGAAATTTCTCTAAATTAATCTGGATAACACGTCGAGGCGTTCGTTCGTTCGTTCGTTCGTTCGTTCGTCGATGATCATTCATCGACGTCTATTTTTCTCGAGACCCGTCATCTTAGCCCGGTTTTCCTCTCGACTTCGGTCACCAGCGCTTTCACATGATCGATCGACCTCCGTGCGCGGCTCGATCCCACGTAGCGTTCGAACGAGTCTGAAATACCGTGGGACACGTTCTCCGTGGATTACACAAACTCATCGAGGAACGGCGAACTTTAAAGCCGATTCCCGGCGCCGCCCGTCGTGTCCCGGCTCTGATCCACTTTTCGCGCGGCCGCCGGCCTCCGTTCCGAGTGACACTCGGCTGGCTGAGACTCGTGGAACTGCCTCTTGCGACACCGATCAGCTGAGCGAATCGCTGAACCGGAATCGCTCCACCCGGATCTTTCATCGATCGTCTACGTCATACCAACGGTTACCCTGCTATTTCCTTCGAAACCAATTACGACCTCGTCTCGTTGGATTCTTTGCGAGATATCGAAATGACGCGTGTATCGTTGAGAAACTGATTCATAGCTCGTTAGAATTTGCTGGAGGTTCGAATTCGTTGGCTGACGAACGACCGAATGATTTTGCTTCAGGTTGTGGCAACGGGAAGTACCTGAGCGTTAATCACAGCGTCTTTAAGGTGGGAGTGGACCGGTGCAAGCGTTTCACGGATATCGCGCGTGAGAAGGAAAATGAGGTGAATATATCATTTTGAAAAAAAAAAAAAGACGAGAGATCCGACACCGGAAATCGGTTCTTACTTTCTTACGTCCGTATCCTGTATCTGAACCGCGTTTAATCATGTCCTGAACGGATTTTACCTACCTACTGTCATTCAAACGCAACTGACACGTTCCGTGGAAATGAAACATCGTACGATAGATGAAAATCCGACGCGTCGATCGTTTTAACGTTTAAACATTGATTCTTATTTTGGAGGCAGATCTCATTGAAACTGAACGCCGTTTCACGCCGTAGGTATTGATCTGCGACAATCTGGCCCTGCCGTTTCGAGATGAAAGCTTCGACGCGGTGCTTTCGATCGCCGTGGTGCACCACTTTGCCACGACAGAGAGGCGGGTGCACGCACTAAAAGAGCTTGCACGGGTGTTGCGGATCGGCGGCCGCCTGGTCATATCAGTATGGGCCATGGAACAAAGGCACAGAAAGGTAAAACACGACACACGTTCCGTTCTCCATAAAGAGACGATCTGTAGTCAGTTCTCCAGTCACCGAGGCGTTCCATTACGAATTGTAAGGACTCGAATTCGTCTGTTGTTCGAAATCGTTGAGCACGTTTCGGATTAAACACCTAGGCTGTTCGATTCGGTTTATAAGGAATTTCGTTCGACACAATTCAATTCGAACGCGAGCAATGAAACGCGAGCACGACGGTCGATCGGTAAAGGCTCTCCTTCTCAGACGATGCGAATCTGTTGCTGGGAAATGTGCAACCATTCGACGTGTCGCGATTCGAAGATCATTTTTACAATTTTTAGTTCGAGTCTCAAGATGTGTTGGTGCCATGGCCCAAGGCGTACTGCATGCGCTCTGCATCGGACAGATCGAGACGCTCGGGTGCACCGCACGCCGCTGACTTCTATCCTCGTCAGAACCAAAAATACGTATCGTCTTCGAAAAGGTATGTATAAGACATGGGAGAGAAAGAGAAAGAGAAAGAGAAAGAGAGAGTGAGGGAATGAGTACGAAGGAGAAATTATTTATAATTCTGTGTTAATGAAATTGCATTCCTATCAGCTTTTCCTACATCCTGCCGCTCTTGGAACGATATCTCGAACTCGACATAGCAGGCTCGTTAATTATTATCGTTAATGGCGTTTTTGTTACAGAACCGGGCAGCGAAAATGCAAGAGCAAAAGCTACTGGATCGATCCGATATTCAGCCCGTCACCGTCGACCAGCAGCTTGTCCAGCCCGAACGAGACCTGCTACAGCTTTTTTCGTCGAGCTCTGCAGGTAAACCCAGCCCGCGTTGTCACGCGTTGCACGATCGCGTGCTATCGCTGAAATTGCCTCTCGTTTCCATACGCGAACTCTCCGCGACACGATCATTTCCCGCAATAGGTGGCCGAAACGTGGTCTGTGCCCGCTCATCGATTCGTAGATACGTGCACACGGAGCGTCTCTCCTATACGAGAAATCAGGCTAACTGCTCGCGGAACACGGTTCGTATGATGCAATTGGAACGGGCAGAATGCGACGTGGATCGTTCGTCAGCGGGGTGCACGAGTAATTTCGCCTCGCGTTGTTTGCTTCCCTCGCGGATGTTCGATAATCGATGGGAACGAGATTGTTCGGGCTGTTTGCTTGGAAATCGGAATCTCCAGCGTTGATTTCCTTGAAATTAAAAACCCGTTCCTATCGTCGTCCTCTTTAGAAATTGGCTGGAGGCAGGCGAGGATCTGGCGGTCGGCCGTGGTTCTTCGACAGCTGGCAGAGCGGCAATGGAAAGAATCGGAAGAGCTACGAGGATGAACCGCCGGATGCGGACGAGTTGCCCATCGAGTTACGCCGCGTGGAGGACGTCAACATGACGTTGAACAAACAATCGGACTCGCTCAGCATCAAGTCGAAGAGCCTCGGCGACATCCTGGAGATCCAGCGATTGGATCTCGTGCGATCCAGATCGAGCATTCCCGGTCTGTGCTCCGTGTTAACGTCGGAATTGAACCTGGACGGGGAATCGAGAACGTCGTCGTCGATGAGCGGCTCGAAGCCGCGGCTGGTCAAGCAGAAGACCCATCTCGTGGACGACATCGGTTTGGAAAATCCTGACAACACTGCCATTCAAGAACTAGCTAAGGACATTCCAGACTTTCAGGTCTTTACCGTCTTTACTCTCTGTTTGATCGAAACGTCCCTCACAGATGATTCGAATCCCTTTTGTTTTACCGTTGATCATCGCAGGTCTCTCCTGGTCATTGTTCCAAGCGGGGGAGCATCCTGAAGCAGAGCTCGATGAACGAAGAGCTGATGTCTACCGAGAGGCTGGAGGAGAAGGAGAGGGTGCGACGTAACATCATGAAACAAGCGTCTCTGAACGAGGATATCATCTGCAAGGGCAGAACGTTCGAGTCCCTCCGGGAGTCCCTTTACTCCGCGAACGCGACGAAGAGGTTCCAACTGTTGAAAAGTGGCCTTACGAACAAGATAAGACAGTCAACGACGAACATCGAGGTGTCCGGGATATCGATCAAGAACGGGTTCGTGAAGATTCTGCAGGGGTGGAAGTCCAGCGATAGCGACACGACGTCGAACGCGGGCAACGACGAGGCGCGGACGAATAACAACGACTCGAAGGCTCAAACGGGGACCGTGATAAAGAGAGAGGACGGCATCGAGAGGCGCCTGTCGCGCGAGGACGGTTCGGACTCGTCGAAGGACAGCAGTCTGCAGAGCGACACGAGCGTCGACTCCGAGGACAGCCTCGTGTCTGTGATCTTCGTGCCAAAGCAGGACGCACAGGCTACGACAGACGCGGTCGTCCCGACTTCGAACGGCAACAATCACTCGAGCAGCTCAGCGCCGTCTTCGCCGCGCGTCAAGAATCCACCAGATACGCCTAACTCGAGAATCAAAGTCGTCCCCGTGTCGCCGTTGCTCAAACAGTTCCCGACTACTAATAAGATAGCTCCGTCTAGTCCACCGAACTTGTCCCCTCGCACGTTGAACTCCGCGTTGATCAGATCGAACCAATTTTTCGTTTCTACTCCTGTTAACAGCCAGCAGCAGCAGCAGGTAGAGAAGAATGGGAAGAGGCCGGAGATCTTCAATAACGGTTATCATCAGCCAAACGGAGAACAGCAGTGTAACAAACAGAATGCGGAAACCGATATCGTCCCCGAAGCGAAGAAACCCAGCCTGCAAGCTATACGCGCTTACAGATCGATGACCGAGAGTCTGGAGATCGAGGAACAACACATCGTCAAAGACACTGCTCGACTTTTGCCTAATACCGACGAGATTCCCGAGTCGCACGAGAGGATTACGTTCGACGTTAACAAGGAGGAGGAGAATCGCAAAGTCAGACTGGACCAGATCAAGGAGCTGTTGAGACAGAAGCCCGGATTCGCGACCAGAACCAAACAGTCGTTTCCTCTGGTCAGAAGAGCTTCAACGACGGCCACGGGTCGCTTGGAGACCGTCACGAAAGTTCTCCCACGGCTGCTGTCGCTGGAATTGTTCAATCCCGAGACCGACGACTTGGACAGCGATTCCAGCGGTGTATCCTCGCCCGATTCGGTAGGATCCGTGATCAGCGTGATCTCGGACGAGAGGTACATGGCCAAGAAGGATAACAATAAGTCGGAGTGCACCGAGTCCGAAGTGTTGGACAGTTCAGCGGAGAACGTGTCCGACCCGAGCGAGCTGACCGCGGACGAGTCGCCGGGGTACGTGGCTGATTCGAAGGAGGTGGAGAAGGCCACGAGCGGCGGCCTTCCTAGAGTCCTAGAAGCTGCAGCCAGTGCCGCCACTTCCTCGGAAGATGCCGTGGAAACGGCTGTTACGAAAACGCACAGCGAACCGTACACGGAGACAGCACGACGAGACGGCGTCGAAGAGACAACTTCCGAAAGTAAGATTCGAGTGAAGTCCGACATTCAGTTACCGGAAATGGAAGACACCTGGAACGAGGAGTGCCGGAAACATCTGATAGACCTCACCGAGAAGCTCAGCGAGAACTTGATGTATAAGTTGGACGAGAACAAGTCGGACCAGAGGATCCCGGACGAACGAAAGGACCTGGACAAGCCTATCATCGAATCTCCTTACGACGTCTCGAAACCTGCCAAGTCCAAGTACAACGACTTAACGAACACGATCGCCTGGCTGAGTAACACCAGCAACGGGTTCCACGAACGCCCCGAGAAGATAGAGAGAATTCAAGAGGACAAGTCTATACACAGAAGCAAGTCGGACGACATAGTGGACGGATTCGTGATGGTATCGAACACCGGGGAGTTTCTGAACGATAAAGAGACGACGAGCCTGGAGAAGAACACTGAGAAGCCTCGCCTGAGAACCGCGAACTCGATGGAGTCCAGCGACATCGGCGAGTCTGTCAACACCATCAGTTTCAGCGACGGGAGCCGCACGGGTTCTACCGGGAGATTGTGCAGCAGCATGGTTTCTCTGCTGTCGAACAACGCTGAGTACCCGAAGTCGTATGCCGTCGAGTCGAAACGAAGACTGCAACTGCAGAGGAGGTCGGCCAGCGAGGAGACACCGGCTAGGTACCCGGACAGCAGCAAACGTAGCACGGACTGTCTGGTGACGACGACCGCGAGCAACGATTCGCTGAGCGTGTCGTCGTCGCAGGAATCGTTGCCGTCCGATCGCGGCGGCGGCGGCGGCGGCGCGATCACCTACCATCAGTACTACCACGTGTTCAGGGAGGGCGAGCTGGACCAACTGATCAATAAATACGTGGAGAACTTGCACATTATCTCGTCCTACTACGACCACGCGAGCTGGTGCATCGTTGCGGAGAAGGTACAGGTCTGGACCATATGACTCGAGGCAGACACCCCGGTTATTCCCTTCTCGCGCCTCGCGCGTCGCCCCGCTTAGATCACACAGGTAGGCTGCGGATTCTGTGCGTTTAATCCATTATCACGTCAAGAACGACCGTTTCAATTAGGTTTTAAAATGATACCAGCAATGCGTTTTTGTTTTGCATAAAGGTCCGCGGTCTACCGGGTCACGAAGGATAATCGGCTGACGAAGGAACACAGGTCAGTCCGGTCTGTTTGTTATTCGGATGAACAGGTCGATGGTGTGCATTGATAAAAACGTGATTATCCAGTAGTTAACGGAGATGAATTTATTATGGCTTTTCACGTTGTTGGTCGCGAGCATGTACGAATTGTGGTCAGGGCTATCGGATTCATTTGCTTTCTTATCAAAAGGAAGCTCGAGGTGTAAGGATGTAAATTGGAGAGAGAGGCGTGTTTCATTACCCTTAGATCAGAATTACAATGTCCGTGAATTCTATTGATTTGTAAATTCTGTTGATGGCTACGAGGATTAAGAAATTTGGAGGGCAGAAAGAGAGAAGGGGGGCGTGTAAATATGTAAGATAAAACGAGAGTAAAACACGTTTCCGATGTAAACGCACAGATCGGCGAACAAATTACGATTCATCGGATAAGCGACACTGGTAGGATAGCGACTTTTATCGTCCGTCTAAGTGCTTGACCAAATACTTGTCTACACCGTTCGTTTCCTCGTATCATTGTTTCACCGGTTCTAGTCGATTACGTGATAAAACATGATCATAGTTTGCTCGTTTCGTTCTGTACGATATTCCCGATCTTTCCGTCGTCGAAATTCCGCGAGAACGGACACGATGACAACAACGTTCTTCTCTCTACCGTGCTAGCATTTTTAATGTGTACGTTCAACACTCTCCCTACTATCAATATTGTCTTCTGCATAGTCGCATAAATATTTTTCTCTCAAAATTTCTACTCTCTTCATTGTTCTACTACGAGTACTTTAAAGAGAGCGGGACACCTTCCTCCGCTCTTGTCGAAGCGTTACTTAATACCGTGTTAATACAAAAGAACGTACGTGGATTTTAATTTGACTTTAATCAGAAGGATCACAAACGTAGGCTTTCATTTGGACATGATTATTGTAAATATGACTCGACGAACACCAGTAGAACAGTAATAGAACAGTTTCTAAGTATGGGAAGGATGCTTCACTAACGAGTCGTTAGGGTAACAAATTACAGAGGAAGCGGTGTTCCACATTGACGAACGTTATTGCGTTATTACCAAGAGGAGATCTAGCTGACGAAAGAGGAAGACGTCAGAAGTCATTGAAGAGTCACGACGCATAGAAAACCGTTGGACACGTTGAACCGAAACATTCTGTGAAATTCTCATACCGTGACGATCTCGTTCGCTCTGCCTCGGAATAATTTTCCTTCGAGGGTGTAGCGTGTACATATGCATAAAACCAACTCGAGGTCAGTTACTTCGGACAGCGTTTACACTGTACATCGTTTAGGATGCTGACAGAGGTGCGTGAGAAGATCGAGTCGAAAGTAGAATAGAAGAAATGCACTCGGACAGTTTCATTGATCCAACGTGTCTGTACGAAACTCGTCAAGGAAGTAATTAGGAGCGGTAGAATTTTACATAAAAAGGACCAAAGTAAAAACGCAGAGTACGTCGATTCTTGTCATCGGTGCTGCGAATCGAGTTCCGATCACTTGCGTCCGCGAGAAGCGTTGGGCAGAAAGAGGAATTCTCATAAAGTAATCGTAATACCGCAATAACTATCGGACCATTCGACGACAGTATACCATTGTTACAGCGAGATGTACCACGATTCACTCTATGTGATGGCACAAACGAGAAAAGTGTGCTGAATAGCCGGCGATGTTGTATCGGAAAGTTGAGTGATACGTGAGTGTGAGAAGAACGAACGAAGATCGTTTGACGAGTATGGGGAAAGTTTCACAGATTATTAGGTGATGTTATGCTCGATAAGGTTACGACGAGCACACTTTGGTACACTTCTTTTGTAAATAGTTAATATCTAACGTATAAATACGTGTATAGATAAGAAATATGTGGACGATCTTCTTAGTTCCGAGGAGTTTCGACTTCTTACGTTTATCTCTATTAAAAGAACGTTCCGCCGTTGAATTTACTTTAGTGGTTGTGGTTTCCTCTACGAGATAGATAGCGAATATAGGTATTAATTTTACTGTCGGAGAAAGGGTTCCCGCGTGTTCGGAGAAGTAAGAGGAGCGAACGAACGCACGATCGCGATTTTTCACTGGAAGCCTAACCGTCGCTCGTTCGTATTAATTATCATCACATCGGTTTCAAGCGGTACTTTTGATGAGTTCTTTTTCGTTCCTCTACTTCATGACACCTGCGAGCTTCTCAGTCGACGTTACGATCTATAATATATAGGGTATCCTAGTAAAAGTATCGAAGAGAGGTGATTCTGTAAGCGTTTCTGAACAACAATTTCCTTTGCCAAAATACAAAGCGAGGCTTTTGGTTTTTAAATTATTAACGAAAGACACTTACCAATGAAAGCACGTGTAGGGCCCGCGCTAAGCCACGACCGAACGTCACGATCAAAGCCAACCTACCCGTGGCCCTAAGCTAACCTAACCTAATCTAACTTAATAATTCGAAAACCGTGGCTCACTGCCATTTTTACCAAAGGAAATTGTTGTTCAGAAACACCTCAAGAATCATCCCTTTTCGGCTCTATCACTTTTTCTGGGACACCATGTATAAATAACGTGCGTGTATGCAGACGCATAATACAGACCTATCTTCCAAGATCGATCTTGAGAACACGACGATGATGGTAGTTAGATAGACGCTGGAATTGTGTGCGAATCATTCCAATGTATTCTCATCGAACTTTCAGTTGAAGCGACCATAGTCTTCCCCGATGTGTACATAATGTACATTACACACTTGTTACTCTGTCCTGTCGTAGCTGCATCGAACGGATATATTAATTAATTAAGATTGTCGCGCGTGCCAGTAAAATAACAATTTAAAATCCCAACGGAGACTAGTAAAGTGGACAGAAAAGAACGCGAGGAGAAACTGTTGGATTCAAAATGCTGCATCTAGAGAAGGCTGTGCTCGACATAGCTTAGACGTGTACATACATAATTTACGCGTATGTTGTAGCTACAGAATAACGTTGCAACTACATACGCGTAAGAGTAAAAACACATGCGTACAAAATGAAGACGTACATAAATGCACAGATATTAGACGGTGTATAAGGTCTAATAATCCCACAACTTATATAGCGAATATTTAAAAAGAGAAAAATACGAATTGTTCTTGGCGCGTATACACATGTATTTATTCCCCTTCCATCCGACGAACGTCTGTATAAATAATTAATTATCGCCAGGATGACACGGGGTCCGGTGTCGCGTACGAGTTTCCGTGTGTACAGACGATCGAGATGATTTGGAAATTTTTTTATCGAAGAGAACGAGAAACAAATTCTGCCGAATAATTGGAAACGGATCTGTTTCTCGTCTGAAAGATGTCCTGCGAACGCGCGCGCACAGAAAAGTTGTACGTATCCGAAGAACACGATTCTAATATAGAAATGGTGCTATTTACGGAGTAATCCCCTTACCACCGGGGGACCACTGTTGTGATTTAGAAAATGATTCCATGATTCTCAATTGAACCGCACGACGAGTATACCAGGGTAATAGTTCGAACGAAACGAAAAGTATAATCGCAATAAAATTGTAAGGCGATCTCCCGACTCTAAACGTAATCACGCATGATTCGATGTATAATACTCGCTTGTGGAAATAGTTCTGTCGCCAAAAGTTACCACCGTTGATGAAACTCGCATATACACGCATAATATAATAATATACATATAATAGTTCATATCAATTATAAAGAGGAGAAACACGGATTTATCATCGAATAGTTATGAACCTGCGAGCAAGACCGTCTCGGTTTATTATATCTACTGTCATCTATATCGACCGACACGAATATATCTAACGACGAGTAGCGTGTCGTGCGTGACTTTTTTGAAAGCGTTTAATTCTAAGTGGACATAAACGGAGAACGGTGCGAGATATCTATTCGGTAATTAAGTACGATTCTAGCTTGGGGGGCAGGCCGGGGGTACACACATTTGCTATTCGAACGGTACCTCTGAAACGTTTCAAAAAAAGAAAAAAAATATTGACAATATATATACATGTGATCGACGGATGGTTCCATCACAGTTTTGTAAACTATACGTCGTATTTCTATAGGATATATCAATCGGGGAATTGAGGAAGTGACAGAAGGGGCACGCGTCGTTAAATGTTAGAAATGAGAAATCCGACCAGAGTCGATCGAGAGAGGCAAAACTTTCAACGGGTTTCGCGTGCAAGAACGTACGAACGATTCGTAGTGACGACCGCGACCTGGTCCCTCGAATCGGATCAGGAGACAGAGATTCACGTGTCCCTGACAATTCTCTCGTTCCCCCGCTTTAATGTCGATGTCGTATAAAGACATAGTTTTTCCCTTTGTTTCGTTCGTTTGTCTATCCGTGAAGGATCCTCCGGATCGAAGAGCAGTTCTCCGTGGACCATCTCGAATTTTTATTTCGTCTCTCATCGCGATCCCGAGTGATGACAGAATAGAAATCCAAGACACGCGCCTGGGGGCAGTTGTCTCTCGGTCTGGACGAGGCCTTACACTAATTTTAACCGTACTTCTTTGCGGCACACACGTTCAAGGCGTTCATTGAAACTTTCCATAACGATATACCGAATTATCGATTCAGTGCACCCGATGTATTAATTGAAACGTGTAATTCGTTTTGAGCGTCGTAACTACGTTAGGCACGTTCGACATCAGACCAGACCTCTATTTTATACCTGTATTTCACGATCAGGATATTAGAACGATTATCTACTGCGCATTATTATGTACATGTAAATTTCGTTTAATAGAGATACAATATTTCATATTTCTTACGGAATTATTGACTGTCGTACCCCTTGTGAACGATTCGCGTTTGTGACAAGGCCCGAATTTTGTACTCGGCATTAGTCTTAATCGACCATTGTTCAAAGGTAAGTCAGATGTCACCTGTTATGTTTCACTGATTTATTTTGACTTTCTCATTCTTTCCGTTACATCGAATTATCTGCGTGGATTGTTGTCATGTTTAACACGAATCGTACAATCTTTGTTTTGTCGTTGTCACCGACCAAGTGTATAAATAAATTTTGTTAACACGATCATTGTGCCTGAACGGTGTAACGTTAGTGAAAGCTGCGAGGCACTGAGAGATTGAGCGGTTGAGCCGCGGCAAAAGCAGCGAACGCACTCGTGCTCCCGCTGTGTTATGCACAGCACGCGGTGTACGGTTCAGTTTTATTTCCCCTTATATAAAAACCTTTTACAGTAAATGTACATTATGTGCTAAAAGAATAAAGCAAGTATGTACATGTACGTAAACTATAAACTCCTCAAGTAAACTTATGTACACGTGATCGTATCAAAATACGATTAACTAAGTATTTTGTCCACTTTACAAAACGCGTTGTGCGCGGCGAACACGCACGAGACAATTGAAGTTATCTTGCTGTTATATATTTCTTTATATAAAAATTAGACAGATGCCTTTATTAGCGTAACGTTTTCGCTTCAACCCTCCCTCGAATCTTATAAATTACAAAAGCGAACGAATCGATGAACAATTGTTGTAACAATGTGTTCGTATCTCTAACAGATCGCAGAGCGTGTGAAGCGAATCGCGGGTGCGAAACTAACAAGTTCTCTTTACACATTTCGTACAGCTCGGCCAATTTACTCGCGCCGTAGATTTTCGAGCCTGGCCTGGAGATCCGCGTCCGCGTCCGCGAGATTTCCACCTTCCTCGCCTCCAGCTGCAGTCGCGACGGGCTGCTTCGAACCAGCCACGCTCAACGAACCGGACGCTTGTGGCAGGCCAGAGAGCTGGTCTGTCACCTGCAGTCCCAGTTCGTCCAGGACTTGCGATACGATAGCGTCGCTGCAGAAGAAAATGATGCGTGTAATTTTTTATGAACAGAATCGAGTCTGAGGTCGAATACCTTTCCTCCTCGTCACCCTCGTCCTCCATCGCGTCGTCGATCGCATCGTTCATGATTTCTTCTTTCATGTCCATTATCTCCGACTGTTTTTCGAACTCTTGCAGTATCTTCTGTATTTGAGGAAGGTTCAACTGTCTGTAGAAACATAAAACACTCGTGTAGCAGAGGCTGTTGCCTTCTGATTTAAAGATCTTACTTGTTCATGTTCTGCATGGCTCTGGTCACTCCTTTCATGGCCTGTGCCATCGTGTTCTGCGACCGTAAGGTTTGGATCTTCAAGGAAACTGCTTGGATGTTCGCCTTCATCAGCATAAACTTTTTCACGTATCGCCTGGTCCTCACGAGATCTTTAGCCATGATTTTCACAGCGTCCTGTCGAGGCAATGGTAATGACAATCAGTCGTTTACACGGCAAAATTAAGTTAGATTACCATTTGTCCATCTTTGGCAAGCTTCTTTATGTCTTGTATTATCTTTTTCTCCTGTTGTTCCATTCTCATTCTTTCCCTATCCAGATCCCTCATTGCCTTGTTCAAGGCTCTTTGATTTTTCCTGAGCATCTCTTCGGGAGTGATCCTTTTCCCAAATAACCACTCCATGATTCCAGTGAAAATATCGCTACTTGCTGAAATCGAATCGATTGATTTTACACGAAGGAACAAACAAATCGCGAAAGTGTATGATTAGAAGGCGTGAAAGCTATCTTGTTATAACTATCTTTTTATTATTAAAACGGTACAGAATTTGCACTGTACGAAATTGACTTCTCTTCAGGTTAAATCTCCGAGCGACGATTCACTTATTCGGATGAGTCACGCCTTTGAACCCGAACTCTTGACTCTGATTAAAAACGACGGTACGCAAAACCGAGAATCTCAACTAATTTTGACATCTCAAACTTCCTTTATAAAGCAATCGCTGCACGCAGCCGCACGCTATAACAATATTATTGTGCGAGATCAGTTTCGAACGGCACAGATGCAAATTAGAATGCGATTCAGCGAGAATTGCGGAATGCCAGTTTGACGGACGTGGATGGAGAAGGTAACTGCTATGCTGTCTTGACACCGCGATGCCAACAATAAATTCTCAGTATTTGAATACGTGGCATTCTCAAGGGATTGTGAACCGAGATAAACTTTTAAACCGTTCTTTAATGATATCGTTTGATGGAATAACGGGAACAACGTAAAATACAATAACGTATCAACGTTCCATATTCCATATATCCGCAAGTCCCGTCGTGATGTTAGTATAATTTAGAGAGGCAACGATAGTGCCCTCTACCGGGACTTGGATATGCGGATAGAATCAGTGGCAGGCAATGAATGAAGTAACAATTTGAAAACTCATATTTTTTCACTAACGTATACAATATTACATTGGCTTTTCCTCAAATTAGACGTAAAGAATTGTATTATATTATCATGTCAAATATAGGCACTTGTGCGTCTGTAAAGGTTTCAAACGGACCTTTGTTATATCTCTTCTGGACGTTAATTTTGACCCACGAAAGAACTTTGCTATTGTACTGATGCTCTGTTAAGCCACTAACTTCCTTGGCCATGAAAATTATCTGAGAATTAGACAAATCGTGAAACGTGATTTTTTTCTCTTGCTTTTTATCACTAAAAAACTTGAGTTCACCCTTTGCACAGATATACGTGCAACACTTTATCGGTTTGCCCCGAGTCCCATTCTCAGTGTCTAATGACCAATTGTGTTCGAAAATCTGTGTAACACGCGTCGAATTATAATTTATTCATCAATTATGTTTCAAATACATCCTCTTACTCACAAGAGCGTCCTCTGTCCTTGTACCCACAGGATATTTAAAACCAGGACGCGGTTCAGAGAACTTGTCTGGACAAATGTCTGTCTCTAATACCTCGACGTCAATTTTACCCCGGGACAAATGTTGAAAATACTTCTCATCGATTTTTCTTCTTTCCTCATCGATCTCGGACTTAATACTTTTTCGATAATAAACAGTTATTATTCCTGTCCCATCATCGACTAAACAACGACGTAAAAAGGATTCTTATGTTTTGAATTCTAAATAAGAATCTACTGTAACAAAACTAATCTCGTTCATTATTACCTGTATACTGATAAAAGTTGTCAGTTTCATTTATGTCTAATACAAATCCTGCTATTTCTATTACCCCGATCTTTTCATGAGGCATATTAAGAGGATGAAATTTGATCAGTGAATCCTCCGTGAAAGGCACAAGTCTATTTAATTCCATGATCAAAAATGGTTCGTTGCCTGTAATACGAGAAATAATATTTTATTACTGACGACGCTGTTTCAATTCTTCATTTTTTCGTTGTCTTTCATTGCTTATTCGGTATACACGTACGTCCTAATTTATATTCATCTGTTTCTTCGTCTATTTCTTCCTTTTTCTCTTCCTTACTGTTAACGCATTCTTCACTTGTTGGTAAGTATGACGGAAAATCGTAATTTCCCTCGTATGAAACAAAATCTGGTTTCATTCTATCGGGAAGATCCGTCCAACTTTTGACGCTTTTGCTCATTGTCAAGAATATCTTTGAACAGGGTACGAAATTTCATGGTTTCATCGAAGAGTCATAGAAGAATTGGCGAGACTCGCATGGACCTCAATCAACCTCAATACCTCGACCAACCTCGACTCAAGCTACTCAAGCAGGCGATCCCCACTGTCGCTGTTAGGTCGATTGTCACGTGATCGTGGCTGAGTTACGTAACATGAGAGGAGGATCGAAAGTATAGAATCGGAGGAAAACCAATATGTTCGCCTTCTTTTTGTCTCCGTTAGACGAGGCTGCAAACTCGCGCTCGTAGACGGACGCGCGGTTGAGACGAGGCATGGATCACCTCGCGTTGCAAGTCTGGGACTGAGGGACGGGATGTACAGACAAAGAGGAAAATCTCTTAGGTAACGATAGAATCTTAGGTCCAGATCCACGTTTTATTCGTAATTATTTTTGCGGACCTCCCGAACGAGCCTTCATAAATGTACAAGGTCACTTAACGCGTGAACAACGTTCAGAAAATTAGAGTAAATGATATGTTTCGTGGCAGAATCTGCGTGCGCGTTAATTACAAAGGCTGTGCTGCGAACAGAAGGTGGACGCTACCTTCTCACTTTCATCGGGTTCGAAACAAACTGAAAGTCCAACCGTAGGTTCGTCTTCGTCGCTTTCCCCGGTTTTCGCGTTTCGTCTGACGAAAAGGTAGAGAACCTACGTCGTTGGTCGTGCAGCTTGAAAGATCACTTTCTGATATTGCGATCTCGCAATGGGCACGCTAATACGTATGTACGTGTACGAAGGGTGCCTAGAATATAGTCGGACAAGATTCAAGTATATATTTTGAGCGTAACCGTTGACCGTACGAACGATCAACGTCATCCGTTCTGCTTCTCGTGGACACCGTTTTCTTGTGGCTTCAGCGGCTTTAACACGTCGACCTCGTTCAATTGCTCGATCTCCAATTGCTTCTGCTTTTCCTTCTTCGACAGTTTTCTAAAAGATATACAAGTCAATCTTAGTTGTCGACAAGCAGCGGAAATCGATCGACTCACTTTCCGAATAATTCCCCGTCCTGTATAGACTCCGGGAGCTTTTTGTTCAACGTTTCCGGCAGGAGCAACGATAGCGCGCCCCCGAGAAGTACGCACGATCCGAAAATGAGGAAAGGCAGAGGCATCCAGATTTTCGACTAGGAAACAGCATTTCCCGTTGATCGATATTACGCTATCGTTACGATGTAAAGTCATAGAAGAGTGAGATTGATTACCAAGAGAATGACGTACGGAGCGATCACTCCACCGATCCGAGCGAAAGTCGAGCTCGCCCCGAGGCCGACGTTGCGAATGACCGTGGGAAACTGCTCGGCGGTGAAAACGTAAATGGCACCGTAGGACGACGTGATGGTGAGCTTGCCGATCATCGCTAGGCACACCACGAGCCAGGAGGCGTCTGCAAACGTCAATCATTCTATTCGCTGCTACGAGATCGAGAGGAATCAGCTTTTCGTGTGCTTACCGGCGGGTACGAGTAAAATAGCGAGCATCGCGATTCCAGAGATCAGCATGCAACCGCACAAGATAAGCTTCCTTCCCCAACGATTCAACGTGAATATTAGAAACGTGTACGCAGGTATTTCTACCAGACCGGAGATCACGAAATTAACATAATCGTTGCCTCCAAGATTGGACACGTGCCAGGACAAACCGTAGTAGGTACCGCTGTTTACGAGCCTGCGAATAAAAGAGCGTACGCCGAACGTGAAAAGCTTCTTTCAAACAGTTTGAAAAAGTTCGAAACGACGATTACCAATTGAAGAATATCAGACAGCTCTTCCGCCTTAAATTAGGATACCGAAAAAGATCGAACAGCGACGGCTTTTTGTAATCTGGCACGGAGTCTTCGCTGTTGTTATTGAGGAGCGTGTCGAGGACTTCGGACGGCATGTCGACGCCGTTCTCCAGGGAAGCTCGCTGAAGCAAATCTTTCGCTTCCTGCGTGCGACCTTTCGTCAATAGCCAGCGCGCGGATTCGGGAATGAACCTGAAGAGAGATCGATGGACAGTGGCGTCGGAGTACGGTCAGCTCGGTAGAACGTCTTACCACCAGTAAAGAAGAAACGCAACGCTGGGTACGGTGATAGCGACTTGTAACATCCTCCAATCCGTAATAAAATAGGCAAAGGCAGCAGTTAGGATGTATCCGGTCGTGAAGAATAATTGGCAGCCGACTCCAGCTACCAACCGCTTCTTCGGGCCTACCATTTCCAACGCTGGAAATATCACGGTTCAGCATCGGTAAACGATATCCACCGGATTTAATTGAGTATATTTTACCGATTACGTAGGCGACCAAGAAGACTCCGCTGGTGGTCGAGCCGACGATTAATCTGAAGATAACGTAGGAAATAAACTCTGGTGAAACCGCGACTAGTATACCGCCGACCAGCTGTATGACTAAAGACAGGAAGAAAATTGGTCTACGTCCAAATTTATCGGACAAACCACCGAATATCATCGAGCCAAGCATCACTCCTACCATGAACAACGAGTCCCCCGTTGCTTTCAACCATGCCTTGTCGCAAACTAGGTTCCACTGAAATCAAACCGCGATGGAACATAAAATATTCAGAGGGCGATCGTAAGAAGAAACAATGCAACGATCGAATTGCAGCAATTACAGAGAGACGGTAGAGATCTATTATTGATCGGAGGATCCAACGAATTAATTGCAGAGCGAAGCGTACCTCAGAGATGGTGGTGCTCTTGTATTTGCTCCTGTCGTAAACGTACGTCTCGCACGGCACGAGTCTTTGAGCGTCTACAGTGAACGCTTGCGACGTATCTACGTGTCTGTTCATCGTATCGTTGATGGGCACGTTCCACCTATGGCAGAGCGATAATTTCTCCTGGCCGTGATCCCACGGGAAGCTCGCGTTCATCACGTGCGGCGGCAAATAGAACGTGGCGTTCTCCGGGTCCTCGTCCGGTAAGAGACACCTGAAGCCAACATCCTTAAAGTGACAAACGGTAGACCGGGGATCTCGGAATAAGACTTCTATCGTGATTCGAATATTGCGATCATCGCGATTGTACGTATTTTTATAAAATCAGCAGTTTAATAATCGGGTTTTCTGCCCGGAACTACCTGGCATCCATTTCGGCGCTTAGAAAGACGCCGGCGATTTTGTGAAAGGCGCAGGATATCGCAGGGAGACACAGCAGGAAGTAGATCCTCCGTTGGTAACGGCCGAACTCTCCCATCCGCAGAATGACATCGTCGTACGCCATTTCTAATCCTTCTGCGTCTTCGAATCCCCGTGGTCCTGCCTTTGTTCGGGGATGCGCTCCTCAAGCGATATCTCTCTGTCGACGAATCCGTCTCGGCGGGGATTATTTCTTCCTGCCGCGAAGGGATCCTCGAATGAATTTCAACCTTGACAAGGTTTTCACTCTTACGAAGGTTCTGTTCTCTTTCTTACAAAATACAAGAGCTCTCTCTCTCTCTCTTTATTTTCAATTCCTTAAGTCGGTTAAAAGTTTTTCAACTTATATGTGAATAAAAACGATCAGCGAATCGCGTATGTCACTCTCTAATATTATCTTGTGCGAACAGTCTTTGTGAGTTGATTAGAAGAACAGGTAGCCTGCTCCTTAGCTGACGGTCGACAGTGCCGGATCCCTTTACTTCGACCTGAAACCAGAAATTCATTATCGAGAGGCACGGCAAACCGTCAGATTACTCGTCAGTGGAACGTAAACAATAACTTGTGACAACTTGTGTGCTTGTCTGATAATAACTCAGGAACGAGATGATCAATTCTCGGAGTGAGCGCAAGGGAAAAGTATGTGCAGGCAGGCAAGAATGTTGAGACGATCTTAAAGATAAACGTAGTGTCGATGGAAATGACAGGGTTTTTATAATAGAACGGGTCTTATGCGAAGAAGAGAGTTCAGATGATCGCGGGATGTTTAAAGAAGATATGGCTGCTGATAAGAAGCGGCGATTTTTATCCCAAAACGAGAAACTTCGTCCATACTATTTCTGTTCCCGACTGCACGCGAGAATGAATTATGAAATATTCAAGTATTTACAAAGGCTCGGCCCGAGGAGCGGGACCTTGCGCAATTTCGTTTACCGTTCCCGAAGAAGTCGGGGACATACACGTGTAGGCGGTGAATCAATTTCGTACATTATTCGGTGAAGCTATCGAAATTTACATCTCTCGTGTCCTATTGTTACTAATGAATATACTAATGAATCAAAAATTGCGCCTTCGCGTCATGAATAGAAACTGCGAATCCTCTCGGTCGGAGTTCTCTAAAACTTTCAACGAGTTTCGATAAACTTATACGCGACAGAGTCGTCCGAAGGGAGGAAGGTATTTCCGAAATATCTAACACACCTTGGTGAGGAGGAAAGCGTGAAACGATCCTGCGCGCACTAAGGACGGACGACGACTGTCGGTGCTTTGGCCGGCTAAACGCAAGGAGCTCGAGTGTATGACCCTTCCTCGGAGGTGGCAGTGGCGCCGCAACCATCATCGAGTCGGCCAGCCCACCCTCCTTTTACCCTTCACGCTCTACCAAGCATCGGTCACCCTTCAGAACGGTCGAACCAAATTCTAACGTCTTCGTTAATCCTATCGCCTGGACTGGAGTTTAAAATTAGAAAAATCTTCGCTCGCCAATGCTTCGAGCGGAGTATTCCTCGTTGTCTGAAACAATTCAGCATTCCTATTGTTCAACGTCACTTGCACGTTTGATTTTCAATTGATTCGTCGTCGATCGGAGATCGTCCCGAACATGCTCGACTTTGACCTTAAAGATTCTTAAAGCGTCTGATTCTCTGTCTCGATCGCGGGCCATTCGTCCCAATGGGTCAATGGCAAACCTGTTGCTCCCTCGTCGAGCCGAGCAACGCGTACCAAATTCGTTTCGACAGAGTGGCTGAGCCGGGGAGGAAGCCGCTTGGCAGCCTTCTCGAGCCCCAGACTGATCTTCTGTCACATCGAATTTTTGTTTGAACGACGACAAGGTGAAAGGTTTGCGTCTGCGATGATACGATGTCGCGTACTGAAGCTGGGCCCGGTGCGCACGTTCACGAAGAGGGTTTAGGACCTCTGGAGAATGCGGTCGCACAATCCCTGAGACGAGTCCCTTAGGTCCTCCTGGAACGGACCCTTACGAACAGTTACGACCGCTCAAGAACATGTTTGTGCACGCCTTCGCGATTTACGGATCATGTCAGTCTTCTATATTTCGTGTTCTTACGACGAGGAGGGACCTGTTCGGAAACAGAGATACACCGATGAAAGCGAGTCGACGGAAAGTGCAAGGAATCGCATTATCCGGCCCGTAAGAAGGACAAGGAGATCTTGTAAATTACGATTCCTAGCAAACCTTGATAAAACCCCGTTCCACCTCCCCGAGGAATGAGTACAAAAGGGGGGCGGTCGGGAGACGTAATTTGCAACAGGTTCTCGTTGCTGAAAAACGTTGACGAGCACCGGTGAAACGTGAGTGCAGACGGTGCATTTTAAGGCTGCTCCGTCGTTGTTCAGCGATGCAGTTATTAACGTAGAGAATCAGCATTTCGTGTTACTTCGTTCCTTTTCTCAGGCTCCGGACCTAGACTTATCTTGAATCGTGACTGTATCGAAGGGACAGTTTACTTTTCGTAGCCAAACGCACAATTACCAACGTTGGTCGCGGCGGCGTTTTTTCCATTCCGATCACGTCGGTCGACGGTTCTACCGTTCTACGATCATAGCGCAGCTCGGTACGCGAGTATCCGTGAAAGAAATAATCAGCCTTGCGTCATCTATAAATAGCATACGCGCGTTTCGCGGTAAGTGCCGGGAATCCGATGCCGATGCGTGAAAGGGAGACGCCGAGATGCAGGTGCACTTCCTGTCCAGTACCAATCGTTTCGATAAACATCACGTGCCCGACCGATTTTCATCTCCTTGCATTTTGTCTTTCACCCCTTCCTCGTTCGTTGGATTCTGCATTCAAAGAGGTAGACTCGAATTCGATCGACGAGTCCCTTGGTGAGCGCATTTGGAAATTCTTGAAATTACTCTGAAAATACCTCTGAACTTGGTCATTTTACTCGGTTCTTCGGTTATTTCGAGGAGAACCTAATTGAGATTGCAGCGGATCTCTTTGCTTTCGGAGAAAGCCGTTCGGCTCTCGAGATTCCGCCTCAAGGTGACGAACTTCTTACTTACTGTATGCGACACGTTTATCCAATTAAGACAACGTATTGTTGGCATCCATTTCCGAGAAGGGGCAATTGGTTTCGGTAATGTAAAAATTATGTTCGACAATGTGCGTGCGGGACACCCGTCCAAAGAGATCTCGACTCAACGGATCACCGGCGTCGAGCATTCTCGATAAGAAAATTTCTAAGATCGACTAGATATTTTCTAATGGAACGATCAGACGAAACAAAGTCACTTAATTTATTCTGTTCCGGTTGGAACACGACACATCGGTCTGCCCGATGATAAGATAATCTTATCGCGAGCCTCGAAACTCCTACTTTACAAATCATAAGCGTCAAGCAATTAAATGTACATTTTAAAGATCGCCGTTTCATCTGTCGATCGAATCTGTTTGTTGCTCGAGCGTGGGCGGCGGCATATTGAGCTGTCGATAGTGAATCTCGCCAAGCTATTGAATCCTGATCGTGTAATTAGCACGTAGAACACAGAACAGCTCAGAGGAGTCGGCGACGAAGATTCGACTCGTACTTTTAATCGATCCGTTGATCTTCCGTGTTGAATAACGACTCTTGTAACAGAGCGAGAACGAGAGTCGATTATTTCTCGTCCTGCGTTTCCTCTCACGATCTCCTTTTCCTTCAAAGGGTGGGCTGAGAATTATATAATTTCCCAGTTTCATTCTCGGCTGTCCTATTCGACCGCGCGATTGGACACACCAAGCGAGCTTTCCTTTTTTTCTCCCATAAAAATTCCAACGCTGTTCTCCTCCGCCTCTTTGTCGCGCGTACAAAGACATGACTTACATGGGCGCCGATCAGATTTTATCATCAGCCATTCTCTCGCTTCTGTTTAAAGATGCGTGACAATCGAGTACATGTAGGCAAACAGATCTGATATGATATCGTTGTAATACCAATTGAACTGATCGTGTATACGCATCGAGGGTGGAAGGAATGGAACGATAATTGAACACGTTCGATGGTGCGCGCAGGAGGGAAAACGAATGAAATTTGTTTGATCGCTCGATCCGAGTCGCCCATCGAAACGACGTGGAAGGACGTGATAAAAAAAATAACGGCGTCGACGCCCATGCACGGCTACCCCCTTTTAACTGCTCCCATCGCCGTTGGAGGCCGAGAGAGCAGAACTCGAGAGCGAACTCGAAAGCTATTTATAGTAGGGAGCGGCTTCTAGTTCCCACCGCGTGAAAAATCGCGACTGGTTTCCTGCGAGCCGCGCTCAGAGAAGGAAAGAAGAGTGCCAAAGAAGAAGAGGGCACAGTTTGGAGAAGAGGGTTCGAGAAGAAGAAGGAAAAGGGACGCGAGAAGACAGTCGCTCTTCCCGCCTCTCATTCATTTTTTTCGCCCTGAAACGCGCGTGAAACTCTGGAATTCCTAGCAAGGACACTCGCAAGGATCTCCAGAAATACGATCGATCGAGATACCGACGACGGGAATCCATTATTGCTAATTGTCGACAGGAAATATCGACAATCATGTTTCGCAATTTTGACTGGTTCGCGTTTCGCATTGCATCAGACCGTAGTTCCTTGTTGTTACGTGGAAGAAGAGTTTTTAATCATTGAATCGTGAAGCGTTTTTCCCAGAGTTATTAACTTGAGCGACTGGCGCCAACGAGAAATCAATCACGTTGTTTACGTCGAAGTACGACAGTGCAAACGCATCGAATCGTCCTTATCCGGCGTTGAATCGCATACCTGGCGGCGATGAAAGAGAACAGATGCATTAATTGAAGGAGAGATCCTCGTTCGTCATAGACGATGCACGATCGAGCTATTTAAATGCGAGGATCTAGTACCTAGAGTTCTATTCTTCGTTTCGTCGTACCAAACGACACTTGACTTTCTGTTGTACTCGTGTATGATGAATTATGGCATTTATAATTGTTGAAATACCGGCGTTGCAATGATGTGCCGCGTGAAATTTGCATCGCACGCATGCGCTTCCATGAATTCGAGCAGACGCTCGCAAGTCACTGACCCAATTCCATCGAAGTGATCACTGGTATCGTTCCAATCTTCCTAAGGAACTCTCGACCGACTCGTCTCGTAACATTCTCGCCGTCTACCGGTTTAGAATAATGCCTATAATTACTGTTTGCGAACGTTTTACTTGACCGTAGAGCCGGCTACCGGCCGGCCACAGTGCACAGCCGATCGATACGGTGTACGCGAGCTAACAGCGAGAGTTCCGCGACGAATCGAGCCATCCATCAATTTTGTCACACGCGAAACGCATTTAGACCCGATGCACCCGTCCGCCTCTGTCATGGAATCACGTACCTCTTCCCTGATCGCTGCCGGTTTGGTGATCCAGGATAAAGCGTCAAAAACACACACGCGGAACGGGAAACGCCAGGTCGAAGACCCTCCGACACCGGACGATTACTATAGGCCCCGGAAGATGGCAGCTCGCGTGATTTACGAGGCCTCTCGTTGATTTCTAATACGCCCCTTTTATTTCACGCAAATAGAACGCTCTTTGAACTTTACGTTACAGTCCTGTGCTTCGCACGAAAGAAAAAGAAAGTCTGCTAATCTTTCGTCGATGGTCCGGATGACGAACGATGCCTTTGAAGCATGTCCTCTCACGTCGTCCGTTAGACCGCGGATTTTTATGCAAAGTCTGAGTTGTAGACGTATCAGTTTAAGAGACGATACTCTGTCCTTTAATCCTACTACAACATCGTACTGAATATGCATTATCTTGGCGTTAATACTTGGCGCACTTTTGTCCACTGTATGTGCATGCGCACGCGTACGTGTTAGCCACGTTTCTTACACGTTCAATTTTGCTATAAACGCATAATAAAATCCGCAGTTAGCATCCGATGTGTATAAAGTATAGCTAATTAAATGAAACGAAATGATTCTGCTCTACCGTGCGCAACTTTCATGTTACACATTCATCGCTCTTGACCTCTCGCGGTCCACGCTTACCGAGGCTGACTTGATTATTGATTCATGTGCACGATATCGAGAGGAACGCGTGATTGCATCTGACCCGGAATATCTTCTCGACATTTTGCTGTGAATGAACGAATTAAACAAACGGCAGAGACTAGGATCGTGGACGAATCTATATCTCCCGACTTTGGCATTATGTCATTGGAACACTGAGGCGTTAAAAATAGAGAGAGAGAGAGAACGGTATGTTGCTCGTTATCATTCCGAATCGTTTTTGTTCTCATAACTTTGTCTATCGCGTACTCAAATGCTGTGGATGCATTAAATATGCGATTCCAGTATGAGTCATCAATTCTGCTAGCCATTTGTACAGGCGTACGACTGCAGTCCCATGAGAGCACATTATTGTACGAAATTGAATCTTTTTAAATGACCGTTACAAGAACCTGGACTTTCGGTAAAGGAAACGTCCCAATTTCTACTCACTGCCGCGTTTTCCTATAATTTTACACGTTAGAGAACGTGAGAACACGAGCCAATCAGTAGGGACGTTCACCTCACCTGTTAAACGAAAGAGTGTGACCATAAATAGTACCGAAGATACGTTTGATTTTGATGTTTGAAAATGATCCTGTCAGTCGAAGGGACACGTGGTTCTTCTTCCGTGGGTTAGCGCACTTGGCCATCGTGACATTGTATGGACGTAATTCATGTCGTAATGGTTTAACGCACCGGCACTCGAAACAATTGGCATTGACTGGTGACAAACGCGTAATCGCCTCGCATTATTAACAGCGTGCATGTTCTGAATAGGACCGGAGTTTGGTCGTACAGCGCAGGGAGTCGTAACGCGCGTAAAAACCAAAGTACACCCGCTTACTTTTTCGTTCGAAGAAATACGATCCGAACGTTCTCTCAGAGTAATTTTATGATGATACCTAAACGATGCGTATCTTGAAACGGTCTAGCGTTGTTTCGCGCCACTGGATCGTTATGGATTTGCGACGTTCCTCGAGTCCTAAATCGTGTAAAAATCACGTCGCTCTCTATCTAGAGTTTCAAATCGTCCTCTCTGTAACGACACGAATTACATTTGACGGATCGATGTCCAAATAGAACGGGAATTGACTACCGGAGTTATAATTGTTTCTGTTCAACGAACTCGTAGACAAACAAGTAATGCAAGAATACGTACCGTAGACAAGTGATGATCGCTGCTCGGAAGTTCCACGAGAGCGGAGAAGCTGAGGTCAGTTGTTCCTCGAAGACAATTGCACGAAACACTGTCACTCGCGAAACGAACGTTTAGCAGAGTTGAAGAGCAGAGCGAAACACATTTCGATTTCCGTTACGATTTAGAGCCGGCAACGACACGGCTCGTTATCGATCAATCGTGATATTCGCGCGTACAATCGCCGTTACGGTTCTTACCTCGCCGTTCGAATGTTTGTGAACTATCAGCACCGTAGAGCGTCGAGACGCGTCGAGGTTGGAAAATGTCGTTTATTCCATGGGGTACGATTCTCCATGCCTGTCCGAACCACGATCCGTGCCTTTTTCAACGTTCCGACGAGCTTCACTGACGACGAAACGGCGCTTTGTAATTACCAGGTTGCGCGCACTTACCCATATGCGTACGGTAGAACCGTCACTCCGAACTCCGTATCCCGGAAACCGCGTATTTCAACTCCATTTGTCCTTACGATAGTTTACCTGCCTAGCTAATTGCGCGCTCTTATCGAGCTCTTATCACTCGAACAATACCTAATCGTCGAAATGCATGGTCACATGTACAAGCATTAGTGAACTCTTATTATTATTTTAACGACCCCGACCAATTTAACGAATTACTAATTCTAAGCACTGCACTTAGACTAGTTGCAAAAGAAATATTACCGCAAAGTCCAATTTAACAGCTTCTAATTTCATGTTATCTGGCGTATACTCATTTTACGTATAATAAAGCGATGATCAGTTCCCTCCATTTTATTGATAGATCGATCAAGTCTGGTTGTTTGGAACGTCTGAAGTTCGTTCATATCGGAACACTTCCGGTTACCGGAAAATCGGTTTTATCGATCGATCCCCACAGCTTTCAGCTGGGAGATCGGGGGAAGTGGTAGAATTTCTGGTCGATCTGGTCTTGCTGAAATACAGTATATTTCTTCGAATAAACTTGTTCCCTGATTTTAATTGTGATTCGTCGACGCGAGACTCGATCGTGAGACAACGATAAGCGTCCAAGAAGACGATTTATAAGTGTGTATGTACCTATTCCTTCGGGGCCGTACCGCGTCCCTTGACGTCGTCAGGATTCGTTTGGAAGAGACGAGATCTTCTTTCGTCGTATAGGACATTTCGTCGATGTACAATTGATCCTGTTATTACGATCATTCAACGATGTCTGGAAAATTTGAACCAAGGGTTGCGGAAATGGCGGTCTCGACCGAAGATCAGGCTGGCGCTATCGATTCCTCCCGAAGATTTCCGAGAATAACCGAGGTCGTGGAAGTGACGTATGGACGTCAGTAGTGTGGGCCGACCCGCGTATCCTCGGTACGATCGAGAGGTTTTGTCCGATTCTCCCCTTACACGAAACGATCGCTGAAAATCGTGGTATTCGACCATGAACTTCCTTTAGAAGAACCGCGGAAGGGGATACGCGAGCGAGATAAGCGGTCGGTCGTCGTCACTCTTCTGACTCGCCTTCGAGAAAAAAATCTTGCTTTCATACGTGCGCGTCAGGCCCCTCCGATCAATCTTCAAGTTCGCGACCCCGTCTTTCCCTCGGTTAATTGGGTTTGTTCGTGATTGAGTCCACGCTAAATTGATAGCGTCCCGACGATTGTTCTTCCGTGAGGTATGCCTCGAGTCATTGTCAACGGGATCGATCTCTGCAACCTAACCTTACGGAAGACGATCTCTCGATCTGTCGACTCATCTGAGATCATCCGCGACGACTGACATCCCATTTTGTTACAGGTCCGATTCGGTGGTCACCTACGGGTGCACAGAGATGGCCACCCCTCAGACTCCGGGTAAGTCGCCTACTTTCTTCGTTCGAGGGACGAGAGGCGGACATGCTCCGATTCAACTGTCATGTTGACAGTAACGATCCGCAGAGAGAAATTGATCATTAATCGTTCTAGGTATGGACCCATGGGTGATCCAACCTGGGGAACGTGCAAAGTATAGGCAGCAGTTCGATTCTTTGAAACCGATCAATGGTGTCATCACTGGAGAACAGGCGAAAGAGTTTTTTCTCAAGTCTCAGCTTCAGCCTTTGATCCTCGGTCAAATATGGTACTGATATTTGATTCTTTCGTTTGTCTTGTTGTGTGGTAATCGTAACACGACACCTTCCATTCCAGGGCTCTGTCGGACACGGACGCAGATGGAAAGATGGACATCAACGAATTTAGTATTGCATGTAAATTGATCACTTTGAAATTAAAGGGTTTCGAGATTCCAAAAACCTTGCCACCGTCTCTGGTTCAGAGTTTGAAACAATTCTCTGCCGGTGAGTACAAACAAGATCGTAGAAGAGCGAGAGTTGAATCGATGATTCTGACCGATGTTTCCTTGCAGCTGAAACAGCTTTGACGAACGGAGCTCCTACCATCCCGCCACAGAACAATGTCGCTTCCTTAGTAAATTTGTCTGGCCCACCGCAAGTCCCGGTGCAACCTCTGATCGGCGGAGTACCTATGACCGGATCTGTCCCACGTCCACTCATAGGCCCACGACCGAACGGGCTATTGCCAGGGCAGAGCATCAGACCTGTCGCACCGATGACTCTACCAGGTAATTATACGAAGATTCCGACTCTTATGCGAATTTCTCAACGAGTCGTAAAAACGTGTACACTGAATTAAGGATCGTAATGGTCGAAATACAGTCGTGTCTCGGTCGAGTTTATATGTCGCAACGACAAAGGCATCCTCGTTGTCGAGACCAGACCGAAGTCTGCTTCGAGTATTTTGAATGTTCATTCCGGTGATTGCAATCATAAAAATCATTTTAACTAACGTACAGTATTATTTAGCATTATTTTACTTATGCATCATACTACACAGCATCACGACAAAGTAGACAGAACGTGGCTGCCACGACACATGCCACGACTCACACAGCGTCAAAGCCACCCGCTCGACCTGCACCACCCTCTGTGGGTATGTTATAAAAAGTGGATGTTTAAGTATGAACGGAGTCTTCCTCCAATTCGATACTTTTCGTTTATTTTTTAAGCTTACCGAGACATTGCCATTCTCTCCTGAGCCATATTTCTGTTTGATGTAATCAGCAGTAAAATACGTATTATGATATGCGATGCATCGATATTTTCTTCGCTCAGTTTTGCATGAAACGATATTATAATCCAGCGTTGTACGAAGACGATTATTAAAATGCCACGTACACCATAAGATAAAAGCTACGGGAGTGCATATAACGAATGAAGTATTAATATCGAAGTGACATGACGTCGCGTACACGTCACTCAAAGGTCATACTTCTCTGCTCTATGCCTCTGTGTCTATCTATACACTTGTACGTGTAACTTTATTATGTTATGTACGTATCATTGTTGCAATGGCTTCATTCACTGATTGTACATCACGTACTCTGCTACTCTCTCCTCTCTATGTATACTTATACCTGCGCACACGTGTACAACGTTTTATACAATGATGTGATATTTGTGCTGCGAAAAAAGGAATCGTGCCTTCTTCGAGTATCACCACTACCGATATCAATGCCACTAGTCCTAGTGGTGGTCCTCCTCAAAGACCTACACCACCCACAAGTATTGGTATGTTTCAAACGATTTGAAACGTAGATGAAGCGCATGTAGTGAGTCCAGTTAGATTCTCCCCAGGTTCGTAGATTGAAATCAGGAAATGATTCCTTTTTGTATTCCACATCTAGCTTTATTCATATTTTATTATCTTAGCTTCCTCGCTGCATCGTATCAATTATTTTAATTAGTCGCTTTCAATGATGTTACCGATCGTGTTTGTGGAGACGTTGTTCAGCATCGACTATATTTTCAGGAGCTAATTTTTCACCGATAACCAGTGGCCCGCCACCGAAACCAGCACCGCCGTCGTTCCCCAACAGTCCAGTGGCCGCAGGAATTTCACCGGTGAAGGTACCGCCCGTGCCCGCCGCGCCTATCATTCCTCCGGTGCAGCCTGTTCAGCCGATGACTGCGTCCACCATGGGTAATTTATCCTTTCACCGATTCATCGGGCTTTCAGTGGCTCGAGAACTTTACGCGTCCGACTCGTGTTTCATTGGAACGCTAACGTGTAGACGATCTCGCGTTCAACAGGAATGCCTGCAGTAGCTCCGATTGCACCGTTGAACACGAACCCAACGCCGATGGCAGCTTTCGGTATGGGACAGGCAATGCCAATTCAGCCCTGTAGTACTGCCATGGTCGCTCCGATCCCTGGTACCGTGATACCACCCGTTGCGCCAATTTCCACCGGTACGCGTCGCCCCGTTCATTCTTCGACTTTCGATTCCGTTCCCTCGTTCACCGAACCTTGACATTTTACAGGAGCCGGCGTGATTTCGACTCCTCCGGTCGTAGGCTTACCTCCGCTGTCGGCAACAACGGCAAGCGGGGCGATGGTGAACGGCGTGATCACTCAAACGCCGGTATCAACGAACACGCCATTGAGCACGACTGCGCGCCCGCCCAGCATAGATAGAATAGGCTCGGTGGACTCTCAGCATAGTCAGCATTCCATGGGATCTCCGCAGCCGGTGGAATGGGCTGTGCCGCATCAAACGAAACTGAAGTATACTCAGCTGTTCAACACTTGGGATAGGACGCGATCCGGGTTTCTGTCTGGTCCACAGGCCAGGAACATCATGGTGCAGTCGCAGTTACCTCAAAAGGTGTTGGCACAGATATGGTACGGTACCGCGACGTCTTATGTCAACAGTTGATTGATCTACACGTTTCTATAGAACATGATGTCGTGTCGTTAGGGCGTTAGCGGACATGGACTCGGACGGCCGTTTGAGCTGCGACGAGTTCGTATTGGCTATGCATCTATGCGACATAGCGAAGCTGGGCGAGAAGATACCTTCCACGCTTCCCGTCGAACTTATCCCGCCTGCCTTCAGACGACAACGACAGAGCAGCTTGACGTCTTCTCAGACCGGAGCGGAGAACATCGACCCGTCGGCCGGTATGCCTCAGGTGAGTTTTTAAACGTACACATTTTTTAACACTGTGGTATGCCGATCGTTCTTTGCCCAGACATCCTTCGAGGACAAGCGTAAAGAGAACTTTGAGAAGGGACAAGCGGAGCTCGAGCGCAGGCGTAAAGCCTTGTTGGAAGTTCAACGCAAGGAACAGGAAGAACGTGAGCGCAAGGAGAGAGAGGAGGCCGAGAAATTAGAGAAAATTAGGTGTTTATATTTTTATACAGGTTTTGTCGAAGATTTACGTCGAAACGTTTCGTGCTGACGAAAGATCTGTTCGACAGATTGGAGCAGGAAAGACGAAGACAAGCGGAGATCGAGAAACAGATGCAGAGGCAGAAGGAGATCGAGCAAGAGAAAGAGGAGCAACGGAAACGAGCCCATGAACAGCGGGAAGCTGCACGAAAGTAAGTGAAATTATTTTCGCCGATTTAAACCGTCGAGCATGCTCACGCGAGTGTTCTCATCCGACAGAGAGATGGAGAGGCAACGGCAGTTAGAGTGGGAGAGACAAAAGTCGCAGGAGCTTCAAGCTCAGAGGCAAAAGGAGCAGGACGTCTTACTCAAGTTGAAGGCGAAAAATCAAACGTTGAGCATCGAGTTGAGCACGCTCGTGAGTATCGAAGTGATTGTTGTCAGTGGAACGCTCGTTACTCTGGGAATTTGTTTACAGAACGACAAAGTGAAAGAGTTGTCGCAAAAGATTTGCGACACTCGCGTAGGCGTTTCCGGGGTGAAAACGACGATCGACGGTATGCGATCGACGCGAGACGCGCAGCTGCAGGAGATGGCTGCCCTGAAGAATAAACTGCGAGAACAAAACCAAAGATTACTGTCGTTGAGTCAAGAGAAAGCTCGCATCGAAGCGAAGAACAAGTTGAACATGGCCATGGAATCAGCGGGCCAGGAAGCAATAAAAATGGCATTTGACAACAAGCAGATCACTCTGAAGCAAATGAAAGATAAAGTTGGTGATCTACAGCAACAGGTACCGATCAGTAAACGTAATATGATGTCGCACGAGTTCTAGTCCGTATTATAATTTGATCTCGTTAACAGATCGATGCTAAAATGGCCGATATAGAAAATAACAATGGTCAGCTTCAAGACATAAAAACGCAGTTAGAAAATTTAGTGAGCGATTGTAAGAATCTTTACGTGACATTCGAGGACAAAAAGTTGAAAGTGTTAGAGCTGAGAGCGAGTGGTGGTACCGGCGCTGGTACCGATTACACGGCCTCTTCGTGGAGTGACACGGCGTGGAACGAAGCTCCGACAGTGGTCAACGACTCTGCTTGGCCAGTTAACGACACCGCCACGACTGACGCCGAGCCCGAATCAGCTACGCCCGGCGTCATGAAGTACAGAGCTGTCTACGAATTCGTGGCGAGAAATCAAGATGAAATATCGTTTCAACCCGGTGACATTATTCTGGTATCGTTAACTACGTTTGTACATTGATATTAAAAAGGAAGATAGGAGGAAGACAGGTGTATTTTCCTGACAGGTACCGCCCGTGCAAAATGCAGAACCTGGATGGATGGCCGGTGAGATTCGCGGTCACACCGGTTGGTTCCCCGAATCTTACGTAGAACCAGTGGTCGCAGGAAGTGCGAACGATAACACTTTCATACAACAAGACAGCGTGGAGAAGAGAACGTTAGAGTTAGTCTGTTAAGCTGAACGTATATGAACGGTCGAGAACGCCGTTTATATACGTAATTCTTTTACAGGGGAATTGCTGAAGTTCCCGAGAACGTGTCTGACGCTGGATCGCTGGGTGACGAACCTCCGTACGTTGAACCCATCGTACCTACCCCCGGATTGGGCGTAACCTGTGACGTACAAGTAACGACTTTGTATCATTATCGTCCTACAGTGGAGCAACATCTCCCCTTCGAGAAGGGAGATATCGTTAAAGTCACCGAACAACAAGTCAGTACGGGAGGACACGATCCCGAGAAGAGCGTGTTTATACGTTGTTAATGATTTCAGAACGACTGGTGGTACGGTACGTCCAGCAGCGGAGCCAGTGGATGGTTCCACAAGTCGTACGTGAAAGAAATTGCTGCCAATCAAGCCGCAGCAGTCGTCGACGGACTGAATGAGTATTACACAGCTTTGTATCCGTACGCCTCTGCCGAGAATGGAGACTTGAATTTCGGTCAAGGGGAAGTTATACTGGTCACGAAGAAGGAAGGCGACTGGTGGACGGGCACCATAGGCGATAGGACCGGGATCTTCCCTGCCAATTACGTAGAAAAATGTGACGCACCGGATCAGGTACGACGACTTTCGTTGCCGAATTTTACAGTGTGTGTGACGTTGCGAGTGATGCGAGTAAATATCGTTCTATTTCTAACGTTTGCATTGACCAGGACGCCTCTGTAATTACTAACGCGTCCCAAACACCCGCCACTACTACGATGACTGCGAGTACAGCCGTCAGTAATTACGAAACGGTGTCCACCGTCGCCCAGGCTGCATTGGTCAGTAATCGATTAACGTCTGTATTTTGTAATGACAAGAAATAGATATCCTCGTGTCGTAAATGTAAAATCGCGAAGCTTAGTAGATTTCGACGTAGACGTATAAAGCTAGACGCATACGTGTGTGACTCCCGTGTTTAGCAAGCAGAGAAGACCGCTGAACAACTGGAGGATGAAAGAGCAGCCGCGGAAGACAGAGCAGAATTGCCAGACTTCACCGCGATGGCTGCGCAGCAGGTAAGATTGAAAGTGGCTTACAACCTCCGATCGATCGTAACATAAAAGATTGTCAATTTAACCGCTCCCTGTTTGTTTTATTGCTGCCGTCCCGCTATCGCAGTACGTCAAGGTATTACGCTACTTGCTACGTTCTATGTATCGATGCTTTGTAAATAACGGCATAGATTTACAACGGTACACGGAGGAGTATGTTCAGTGCATATTTCTAACGATCGTCGTTTCTCTTTCACACGCAGAGGGGAAGGAAGCCTGAAATTGTACAAGTCATCGCACCCTATCAAGCTACTAGTTCCGAGCAGTTGAATCTACAGAAAGGACAGCTGATAATGATTCGTAAGAAGACGGACAGCGGTTGGTGGGAAGGAGAGTTACAGGTACGTACGATCGACTGTCGAAACGATGTCTCGCATTATTACCTTGTATATTCGCGTTCTGCAGGCACGTGGTAAGAAGAGGCAAATCGGTTGGTTCCCTGCGTCTTACGTTAAGCCGTTGACCAGTAGCAGTAATCGAAGTACACCCGTGTCTCACGGATACCAAGACTCTCCTACCGATCCAAACGTCGGTGAGTAGAATCCTCGATCCGAACGAATAGAGGATTCGATTGAGAATAAATAGCCCGATACTCTTTCGTTCTAGAACGAGTGTTGGCACTGTACCCTTATGAAGCCCGAAACGAGGATGAACTGAGCTTCAACAAAGGAGAAGTGATAACCGTGTTGGCGAAGGACGAGGAAGCATGGTGGAAAGGCGAATTGAACGGAATGTCCGGCGTTTTTCCCAGTAATTATGTATCACCCATGTGTAAGTATACCTCGCCACGTTACAATTTTACGTTCCATTTAAACGGTTTGATACATTACTTTTTCACGTCTGTCGTAAGTGTTCGTTCAAACAGTCTTGACGTGCTAGTGCTATAGAGTCGAACTGAAACAACGTGAATAGTGTTCGATCTGTGATATACGGATAGACGGACGACCGTCAGGTTTTCTCGTTTCACAAATGCAGATTGATACCGCGAGAGTATCAATTTTCGTTGACTCAGCGCGACGGTCGTTTCGTAGGAGCAGATGAGACAATAATTTCTTAAGTGATGCTCGAAATGTACTGTCGTTGCATTCATTTAATTATATAAGTGTATCAATAATGTACGCGATACTCGTAGAACTTAGGGTTACAGGCACAAATAGGATAATTAGATAATTAGCTTCCTGTTAAGTCAGATGTGAAAAGATCGGCCTCGTGGTACACGAGCACCGTGTATCCGAAACGATGATTCCTCATTATTATTCACCACGGGGGATGTTATGTGTGCTTCTTTCTGCTATGACATGGCTGCGTTAAGATTCGGCACTCTCGCTTGGAAAGCGGTACACTTGTACTGTCGTTTAATTTTCTGATGGGTAGTTATACGGAATCAATTGTCAGAGAAATGTATATACTATCTCTGTCGTACAGCCTGCCTGTCTGCCTGCATGCCTGCCTGTCCGTCCGTCTGTCCGTTTGAGGTAGCTGCTTCGTTTCATCAAACATATCGCGTATAAGGAATCTGTTTAAACGTCGACCGACGTCGTTCGAAGTTGCTAGAGTGCAAACTCGTATTTTCTTTCCAGTTCCTTCTCTGATCGTTCATTCGTCACAGAAACGATCGTAAACTAAATTTGTAAGAAAATGTTGGGCGCAGTATTGTAGAGCGAGACAGCTACTTCGAGGATCTTGCCACTTGCTTACAATACTCGGAAACGATGAGAGTCCCCTTTTACTAATTGTTATCTTTCGCCTCTGCTTAACATGCAGCATAAAGGATAGCAGAGCAGCACCGCAGCATTGCAGGCTAAAATAAAAGCGTCTCAAGTGCGATAAAAATGATAGCAGTCTCTCCCTACTGAACGCGACGTGTTGCAACCAACAAGTCTCATCGGTGGAGACAGCGAGCATAAAGATAAAGTAAAGAGAGAGAGATGAAAGAAAGAAAGACTCAGGGCTGGGTTCTCCGCTTCTACGTTACTCTAAATTGTATTGCGAGTCTTCTTCTTGTTCGAGGTCCTACTCGGTCCTTTATTTTCATTGATCATTCAAATTGTTACCGTGTATCCAATCGACTATCGTCACTTTGAATCGTCGAACCTCCGTGCACGGTTCCACGCGTGACTACCATCGCGCAGTATCGATAACGATATGAAACTAAAAGGCACTGACTATATTCGGTAACGAACACGTTGATGTGTCGTCGCAACCACCTGACATGTGCACCAAATTCTACCTCAATCTCCTTATTTAATGTCGAAGACGAGAGCTTAGAAGATCGCGACCGTTACAATTTGTTTGTCAATTTCGAGTAGTATTCGTAGCTGATGTAAAAATAAAAGGAACGCGACGCGTATTCATTTAGGAAGTTCGATTCTTAGATGATGTTTAGACACGTACCTTCCGTTTGTACCAACACTTTTAGCCTGACTAGAAAACATGTTCGAACGTTAGGGCACGTTTTTCTAGGACCAAAGACAATAAGCATCGATCTGTTTATCTCTTAAAACGTTCGTACAGCACTCCGCGTGTTTAACAGCACTGAAACAGCTTTGTGTGTAAATAAAAAGGAATGCAGGAACACCGAAGTCTAGCGGTAACGGGCTAAAAGTGTTGGACCGATATGGATTTAGATGTGTGCAAGGGCTAATGTAAATTGTTCACGAGCGAAGTCTCGGAGGAAGACCCATCGAATACTGCCTCTTATTTGTTTTGATCGTTGGCGTTAGTACTAGTTGTTTGGTGCGCAACACAGATGGTTTTACAGAGTTGTACTGCGTCGAGGCCTAGATCGCAACAATTGTGCAATCGATCGAACATTATTTTGTCTGGCTTTGCCTTCTTCTTGTCTGTAAAGGGAGAAGGAGTTGTTGAATCGTAACGCTGAATGTCCATCGTTTCATTTACCGTGCGAAGCGTTTGTTACGATGTCTATAGAAGACACTTGTTTAGATTGGCTTATATTGACGGTTCACAGTCTATGTTTTTGTTTAAATTCAGAATTTTATAGGTAACAGAGAAAAATGTATGGCCGGCATAATATCTACGAAGGAGAGCGAACGGTGCTCGCTTCTCTTTTAAATTCAATAAGTTGAACCAAATCTGTTGTTCCTATTTATTTATTCTATCTAATATATGTATAGTTATTACGTTTCGTTTACCTTCGAATCCGACACACGATAGAAGACGATGTGCTCCTTCTTCGCAGCCTTTTATTATAGAGCCTAAATCATCGCTAAAAGTGAATATCAGTAATAAATGATCGTACAGTTACACAGATAGATAGATTATCACCGTTGGTGGGAACGATTCGTTAAGTAATGTTACATCTACTCGTAAACCAGTCCTTCCATCGACTCGCTCTTGAGCATAGTCAGTCCGTACTATTTAAGAGTAGAGTAGTACGTAATCGTTCTTTTATTTATTCTTTCACCTTACGATTATCGACATCTGAACGTAGCCGTCGCTCCCCCAAAATGATTCATCGTTATTTCTATCAAACGTTTTCTACATCGTAAAATATTCCGGCCGGGTCTTCTAGATTTAAAGACGAGTTAGACAATTTCGTTTTTAAGGCGCCCATTCCATGGCGATGGTCAGGAGTCTGATGGAACGACTAGTTTCGAACGATAATCGGAAGAACCAAGCGCACAGCAGGCCGACGTATTTATACATCTCGTCGATCCTTTTACACGTTCTATACAAGCTGTTAGCAACAAGAGAGAGATGTATAAATACGCCAGGGTCCCGATCGACTTCAAACAATTGTGTGCTTAATTATTAAGTATTCTAGCCGCGCCCGTAATCTTGTAATCTTTATCTAAACATGTTGACGATGTGTAAAGCAAGTTATGCAACTGGTTATTCTTAGATCGAAGAGAGAGAAAAAAAAAATGAAATATTAATAATAATAACAATAATAATAATAACAATAATAATAATGACTTGTGTAGCGCTGATATCCTTAAGATTGTTACTATTTGCAAAAGTATCCGTATTGTTTATTCGTTTGTTGTCACGTCGAATCTCATTAACGATCTCGAGAGGGAAGAGAGGAAACGTTGTGTGCGTGGTCTCACGAGCGAAGGAGGCACTGTATGGGTGTGGATAAATTCAAAATCACTGTGGTATCATATTTATTGCAGTCTCCTCCTCTGCGTACGGACGGAACGAGATGAAACTTCTCACATGCATACACACACGCCGTTCTTATACATATGTACACATATCCATACATGATATACAGACGTGTTCGCAAAACTGCTGATTGAAATAAAGTATCTGTCTGTTGTAAAATGTCGTCGTGTACAAAGATTCAGTTGCGACCCGAGCACCCGCTTGAGCGCATAGAAAATCGGACGATCTCCCTCCTGCGTTTTCGTGTTAGCTTCGCCGAACAGAATCACACGAATCTTGTCGTACGGATGAAACAGTCTAGAGCTAGTTAAGTCTCTGTTGCAAACAAGGAAGAGAGCAGTGTTACATTCCCGTGTTTATGTGTAGCCGATGAGATGACGATCGACTTGCTAATGGCTGGGTTGGATCCCATGGAGAGGAAACGGCAAGAGTACATCAAAGAGCTTATCACAACCGAGCAAGCATACATAGAAGATATGAGACTCGTTCACGAGGTACGTGCGAACTCGGTCTCTCCTCTCTGCTTACAAAGCGTTCTGGCGAATGAAATCTCGAAATGTTCTCTTCCAGGTGTTCGAGAAGCCGCTCATTGAAAGTCTGGTGTTGAGCATGGACGAGGTGGATAAGATATTCGTTAACTGGAGAGATATCATCGCGTGCAACGACAATTTTTTAAGGTACGACTCTCGGAACTCCGTACGTTTCGTTACCATTGTTAATCGTGGATTTTCCAGGACGTTACGAATAAGACGGGACAATAGCGAAGGAGGAATCGTGAGAATGATCGGAGACATCTTATGCGAGAACGTAAATTCCTTTCGCTGTTGAACATTAATTTCGTTCGTTCTCGACTGTACACTCACGAGTCTGTGTGATTCAGATACCTAGAATGTCGGCGTACATACGATTCTGCAGCTGCCAGATATCCGCTGCCGTTTATCTTCAAAGACTGACGGAGACCGTGCCGGAGTTCGTCAAAGTCGCCCACACATGTCAACAGGACCCGCGTACAAAAGGAATGCCTTTGAGTTCATTCTTGATTAAACCGATGCAGAGGATAACCAAGTATCCTCTCATCATTGGCAAGGTAACGATCGTCTTCGAATCTGTTTCTCGCTTATACCGCGTTTACGCTCATTGTTACCGGTTCAGATTTTAGAACATACTCCGGTCGACCATCCCGACAGGCAGTATCTCCAAGAAGCCTTGGCTAAGGCAGAAGAATTTTGTACCCAGGTAAAACTTGGTTCGTAATAATCACGTGGATGATTATAATTTGATGATTGTATTGTTCGTACAGGTAAATGAAGGCGTTAGGGAGAAAGAGAATAGCGATAGATTAGAATGGCTGCAAACACGTGTGGCCTGCGATGGTCTCGAGGAACAACTTATCTTTAACTCTTTAACGAATTCTTTAGGTCCACGAAAGCTCGTTCACTTTGGCATACTTCACAAGGTAATCGACACAATGTTTCTTCCGTAACGCGGCATTTTACATTGACATCTCTTCCAGGCGAAGAGCGGAAAGGAACTTGTTGGATTTCTTACCAATGACTTCTTACTGTTCGCTCGACCGGTGCTTTCGAAAAAATATTTTTCCAGTGGACAACAATTTTCATTCGAAAGGAACGAGCATCACAAGTTTAAGATGTATAGAAAAGTACGTTGTGTCCAACCGTACCGAGAGGGAAACGACCGCGTAACGATCCGTGAATCTTTGTTGCAGCCAATATTTTTAAACGAATTATCATTCTTGGGGGATTCGGAGACGAGTGGAACAGCCTTCGGTGAGAATTCTGACAACGCGACTAAAATACTCAGGCTGAAGGACCAGAAGAAACCGATAATATTGCTGGCACCGTCGCCGAGCGAGTGTGTACTCTGGGTGAAACGGATCACCGAAGCGAGGAAGAAGTTCCTGGAGAACGAGAAAACGCGTCTGCAGAGACAGAGATCGAGTGAGTCGTGCACAGTTTTGTTTCCGTCGATTATTGAGCAGTCCGTGTCTCGTCTTACTTGTGCTTATATGTTATCATGACGATTGAATCGTACGTACGATAACGTGTAATATGTGTGTGAGCGAACAGAACAGGCGCAGTTTGGAGCGTGCGGGAGAATTCTCGTTACGGTGCTTGAAGGTTTCAATATAAAGACGACACCTGGTAAGCTAACGTACGCGTTCAATTTGCTTGCTCTTTCTGCATGTACCTACACGCTTGCTTGACGCTTCTGCTTCGAACGTAAAAGGAAAGGGAGAGAAGATTAGCCCTGTTTCTCGGATGGAGTGAACCGTCGGGGTTGTCGTACGTAATTAAACCGTTTAACCGCATGCGTCTAACAAACATCTGGCATGATCAGTTCGCAGGAGACCGCCTCAGGGTAGACTACGATTAGTAGTTGTTGAAGCTGAGGACCTCGTTATGGTAAAACAAGGTAATGTTGTTCGTAGATCCTCGTTACAGGACTCGAAACGTGAATGGACAAACTAAACTTCTAACTTTTCATGTTCTTCTACCCATACTCTCTTCGGCGTGTGATTAGAGACTTTCCAATCAGTAGATGATCGTAGCATTTGATGAGGGTAGACCTAAATCTTAGAACGCTCTGCGGCTGCTACTTACACTTGCGATAGACGCTTTATTAACAACTACTTAGAACTCAAGGATGTATTGGCTATACAGTCAATCCCAAAAGTTTATGCACTTTAGAAACGCATTTTTTAAAAAGAAATCAGACGTCGGAAGAACATTACTAATAATAAACAACAAAAAAAAATTTTCGATTTTTCCGATATTTTTCCAAGGGTACCCCTTCAGATTTTGCGAAATTTTCGTTTTTTGCCAATAAATCCCAAACCACTGGACTTACGGAAAAATTGTATACGACCTTTCTTGTAGAGGACGACGAGATCTACAATTTCTGTATAAAAGTTTCTTGCTAGCGTGTATAGTTAACGAGTAATTTGCAAAAAACTGTTTTTTCGTTTTTCGTCAATAACTCGTAAACTATTAATGCTAGCGACAAACTTTTATACAAAAATTGTAGATCTTGTCGTCCTCTACAAGAAAGGTTGTATACAATTTTCCCGTAGATTCAACGGTTTAGGAGTAATTAAGGGAAAACGAAATTTTTTGCCGAAAGTTCGCCGTTTCGACGCTGGGATGGTCGGATTTTGTCAACATCAATAAAATGCCAAATAATCATACGTAACTCATTAAATTGGGATTGACTGTATAGCAAATACATTCTTAAACACTGGATAATAGATCGCATGGAAATTCTGATGAGAAACAAATTTCTAGGCAAGTGCAACACGTTTTGTAAAGTGAGCATGGGCTCGCAGGAAGAGAGAACAGGCGTCGTTTCGGGAACTGACTGTCCTCTGTGGGACGCGTCGATGCAGTTCCAAGTGAAGGATCTGCTCGAAGATACTCTGTGTATCACGGTCTTCGACAAAGGCTACTACAGCCCGGATGGTAAAACGAAGCTTTCTCTTACTTCTACGATAGAAGACGAAGTTGAGAGAACAGATCTTTTGACTGCTTGTCACAGAATTCCTTGGCCGGGCGGAGATCAGGGTCGCTGACATAATGAGGGACAGCAGAGATTCGTGCGGACCGATACAGAAACGTATTCGACTGCACGAGGTCGAGAAAGGGGTAGTAGTATTGAAACTGGACCTACGACTCTTCGGCAATCGGTAAGAGGAGTGTTTACGGCCAAGTTGCAGCTGTCACTGCCGGCAAACTCTTTTATATCACTACTTTACAAGATCCACGATCGTCGTGTGTGATCGACCGAGGCACAAATCAAGCAATTTCTTATAATATACGAAGTATTTATTGTACTTCAGAGATGTTCACGGATATTACGCGAGTAATTAATTTGTAAGAGAAAAATAGTTTTGTTACTTTCTATGTATACAATTTTCGCGACGATTCGAGTCTTCCTTAGGTGTTAATTATTTATATCTTGTCAATTTACAGCAGTATTATTGTTATCGTTATCGTAATGTTTATACGACGTATAACCAGGAAAGCATTTGTTCTTTTGTATTTAACGTGTTCTGTGTGACAGTTCGGAGCATTTAACAGGGCATTAGAATAACTCGGGCGTACAAGGGATAATTTAAGAATAATTTATTGCATTGCAAAATGCGTAATTAAATTAGCGTACAATTATGGTGAAAGTAGAAAATAGATACATTCCTTATGCTAATTCTCGCGTACGTATGATAATAACGACTCTAGATGTACGATAGTTTCTTATTTATCGATCGAATTTTATAAATCGCTATGCGTGTAGTCTATCAATAAAGTAGTGTTTGATACAATTGGTCGTCGAGATACATTTTAGATGATTCGTTGTGTTCGAGCGGATTGCATGCAAAGTAGAGCAAGTAGTCGCCTCACTGTTTTTCGAATATCATTACCAACATTACTTTACTTGCGCTTCGTTGCATCCGACCCTCCTTCGATTCAATGATCTGACATCACGAAAGATAGTATGAATATTCAGACTTGTACAGACTCGTTCGATCTCTACGAAGACAACGTATCGTCTCGGTCACCGATGCGGTTTCGAGATATTTCAACGATATTCCAGCAGAGATTATTATCCATTCGCAAAGTGCTGACGATGCGGTAAGAACGATCGACGAAATACTCGAAACCGAGCCTATTTTGGTACAACTAGTATAATTCTCTACGCGAGAGACTCGTCAAACGGTCGAGTTACCAGGCTGTTGAGGATGCGTGGTCACCTGCGAGCCTTGGCTAGGCTCTCCGCGCTCCTCGTCGTGCGTAGGGAACTCGTAGATCGGTTTAAACCCGCCGAACAGCTGCGGCTTGAAACTTTCCGGGTCGAATTCAGATTTCTCCGTCTGAGTTTCTTCCACGTTCGACGTGGCTTCGGCGGAATCGTCGTCGGACTTCCTATTGATAACAGGCTCGACCATGACGACGCTCCAGCCGTTCTTGGAAGGCGCCTCTGCACTGACACTGGCCACGAACGGCGCCATGAAATTCTGCGGGGAGGGCGCGGAGCTGGAGGAGCTCGACGGTTGTTGAGAAGGCAAGAGGACAGGCTTCTGCTCGTTCTTGTCGGGTTTCGAAGTCTCTTGGTCCCTCAGATTCACGTCTAAACGATGAGAAGCCTGCGCAGTCGGCGTGTAGACGTAAGCGATCGGTGTGGAAGACGGCAGGACTGGCAGACGGTGCAACGTAGCCGAAATGTGCTCGTTCTTCTTAGCTGCGAACGGTACGAAGTCTTGCAGATACGGTATAACGTTCACGCTCGAGTCCTTGTCGTCCTTTCCTTCTGTGTTCTCTTTCAAGGGTTCTCCCGGTCTCTGATCGCTCGGTACGAGCAACGGCGTTTCCCTCATGCCGTTCACGAGGATAGAAGGATCGGGACGTTCCAGGGGATACGGGAAATCTGACACGACCGGTCGTCCAGTGAACACACTGTGAACCGCCGGTGGACTTCGCTCGTCCTCCTGGTCCTCGTTATTATCTTGGAGCAACGTTTCTGGAGGAAGTGGTCGATGCGGGCCTCTAGTTCCGACTACCACGCTCTCGTCCTTCTCCATAGAGTCGTCAGGGTGTATGTTCACCGCGGTGTTCACAGGGTAGACCACGTAGACCGGCGGCTCGGCCATCTTCTCCCCAGTGTCGAACTCCCTCCTGTTGTCAGCGTCGCGATCGGTCACGATTCTCTCCGATTCGTCGTCGTCGGCATCGATCGCGGATAAATTCGGTTCCGTCGCATCCCCTTCCAGTTCCTCCCCGTGTTGTTGGATCATCTGAAGAGTGGCTACGTGCGGCGAGTCCGCTGTCCTCCGTTTCGGAAATATGGGTGGCCTTGGCGGAACCTGAGACGGCTCCTCGGAGTATCGTTCCGATCTCTCCTCTTCTTCGAGTCGCAGTTTCTGGCTCGACACCCGTTGCTTAACGTCGTCCTCGCCCCTGGACGTGGCTGGTATCGACGGGAGACGAAACCTTTTCGTCGCACCACCTTCCTCTCGCAACGGTACCACGGTCTCCGTCTTCGAGGAAGCCGCGCCTGCTACCCTGAGCGCGTGGATCGGAGGCGGAGGGGGATTCAGTCTCTGGAGATGAGCCGGAGGTGGGAAAGGTCTTCTGGTCGGAGGATGCGGCTGTACAGTCTGTCTCACTCTCGTGGGATAAGCTTGGGCAGCGGGGATCGTTCCGATCGCTTCCGATCCGCGATGCCCGTGAGACGTCTTTGCATTCGGCCGAAACTGTGGCAGGATATTCGGTAGACTGGAGTCCGGATAAGGGCGTCTTCTTATCACCATCGGTTCCGAAGGTGGCGGCGGCGGAAGAGGTGGAGACGACGGAAGTTTGCCACGAGGTGGTAACGGCAGCCTTTGAGGTCTGGGATGGTCCGGTCTCGGCGGACCCGAGTGATGATAATGATAATAGTACTGCGGCGACGGTGGTATTGGCCTCTCAGCCGGTGGAGTCAAGTTCTCCGACAGCTGTGGAAGATGATCTTCGTTAGGAACCGAAGGCTTCGGCGTGACCGGAGCTGATGTCAGTTCGTGCACAGTCCCATCGGCTTCGTTTATTACAACGACGTGCTCTTCGACCGGTTTCTCAGGCTCGTCCTTAGGAAACACCACGTAGTTCACATCTTTCTCTTCTTTCTTCTCTTCCGATTGCTCCGGGCGTACGGTACCTTTTACGAACGAATTCTGTGTTCTCAGAGGTTCTATCTCGTTCGCCAACTTCTGTCCCCCGGAGGGTGGCTGTCTCCACGTCTGGGCGGCGTAATTCGGATTGTTCTCTAATACGGACACCGAAGGAAAGCCGATCGTTCCCCGATGGTCTGCATCGTGGCTGATCTTGTCGGGTGCGACACCGTACAGAGGTCGGAAAGAGGGATCTATTCCAGTAGATCCGGTGTAAGGATTCTCTCCGATGGCGGTACCCAAAGAATAATATCCGCCTTCGACGTTTTGCCTGTTTCCAAGAACGAAGGACACCGTGTCCTGGTCCGGTGGTATCACTATGTTACTGGTGCTCTCCACCAGAATTCCTCCGCCCATTCCGCTCGGTCTCTGGTTCACAATCGCGTTCGGTCGGTATCCTTGGTTCACGATCACGTCGTCAGCTCCGTGCCTCCGGTTGTCATCCGCGAACGTCACCCTGTAATCGTTGTTCAAGGGCATGGACGTGACTGGACGGTGCGGATGAACTTGAAACGGCAGCGAGTTGCTCTGGAAAACAGTTGCCTGAGGCATGCCGGAAAGATGCACCGAAGACGACGATGGAGTCGGAGCGGCGGCCGTGGTGGTGCTCGCGGAAGCGGTTTCCGAAACTGCAGCGGTCGTAGTATTGACGGACACCGTGGTGGGCGATGCGCTGGTCTTAACAATTTCGTTGCTCGACTCCCTCGTCGGGACGTAATCCTCTCCTTCGCCGATTTCATAATCCTCGTAGGCATCGTATTCCTCTTGTTTGCTCGGAGGTTTCGTTTGAGGAATGTGCGCTATATTGTTTGGTCCCTGATGGCTGTTGCTATACGCGCTGCCTTGAAGCTTCTCTATCGGAAGTGCGTCGTCATACTCCTCCAGGTGATCAGCGAACCGCTTTGGAGTGGACATCTGAGGTTTCCAAGTCGTCACTATCGGCACTTTGGTAGAGGCCGTCGTAGCAGGAGGCGTCGTGGTGGTCGTAGAAGTCGTGGTCGTTGTCGAAGTTGTCGTAGGTCTAGGAGTCGTGCTAGTCGTGGTAGTGCTGCTACTCGTCGTCGACGGTGCAGTCTTAGGCATGATCGTGGTTGTGGTCGTGGTCGTGGTCGTGCTCGTGCTCGTGCTCGTGCTCGTGCTCGTGGTCGTTTTAGGCACGTGCGGCTTCCTGGTAGGGTAGTACACGACAGTTTCCCCGTGATAAGGCTTGTGATTGTGAATGCTGTAGCTGTTCGACCCGCTCTGGACCTTCGTGTTCGCGTAAGAACTCGATATCAGCGGGTACTTGTCTTTACCGTATTTATCGGATGGATAGTGAACGGGAAGGTTGAGGAAATCGTGGAAATTGGGCGAGTACGGATTGATCTCGTTGGGACTGACGTCTTCGCCGGCTTCTTTCTGCTTCGTTAAATACGAATCATTTTCTTTCGGGACATCCTTGCCATCGTCCTCGTTCGTCTCCGGGTAACGAGCGGTGAAGTTCAGAGCCTTGACCGGTGGTGCCTTCTCGAAGTCTATCTTCCCAGTGATAGGATCTTTCTCGAGAGAGAACGGTCTACCACCGTTGAAGGCGAAAGGATACGGAAGGTGATAACGCGGCGTTCCTTCGTCGTCCGACGTCGAGTACGCAACGGTGCTCTCCTCCGCGTCGAGATCCAGGTCAGGGTCACCCAGCTGCGCCGTCCTTGCCAAACTCGGAGAGGATTCCATCTCTTCTAACAGCGACTTTGGAGGACTGTTGTCCATGTGGCCGCCCATCAAGTACTCCGCGTCTGCCGCGCAGACCATCAAGACTACGAGCGTCCACGAACCGGGCTGCATCGTTCTCGATTTACCTGAAATCGACTGCCGTTCAGAATAAAATAATACACGACCGCTTTACGTCCAACATTAAATAACATAAGAATTTTATCGTCGAGGAATTTCGTCGGTTGTTTTCGTAGGGTAACAGCGCGTACGAATGGCAGAGTAAAAGGCCGGAAAAGGAGTCTCGTTCCTCTTGCGTCCTACATTTAACATATCTGGACACGACTGTGCATGCGGGATACACGTACGCCCACCGGATTTGTCGCGCTACTACACCATCGCTGAAGTTACTGTAAACGCGTCGACGCGCCTGCATCGTCGTCTCCGAATAAGAGCAACAAATGCAAATCGGCTGATTATTAACCGTTCACATCTATCGTCACAGTATTGTCATTCGAAAGTCCATTGTACATATACATCTTTCACTTTTCAAAAGTTCTGTTCGGCATCGAGTCAATTTCGATTTATTAAAGGAAGAACGTCAGAGCTACGTCTTGAGGAGCGTACGTTTCCGTATCCTTTCCAGGTATAACGCGACGATAGATGCCTGTTAAGAGGATTCTGTTCGGTGTAAAAATTTAGATTCGAGACGTTCGCCTTCCGCGACTAATTAACGGACCATCGGCACAATGGAAGAATGAACAGGGGCAAGCTGTTACATCTTTCATCGAGCGGAATCGCGTTCCGGCGCGTAACGGGTTTTCACGTTCTCTTTTTCTACCCCTTTTTCCTTCCTCTCTCGACCAGCATGTCAGCCTCTTCTCATGGCATTCCAGCTAGCTTTTGTCGAGGTCGTACTACAATCTCGATCGCTGTATTTGGCATTACCATTTCGTTACTCGCACTTTCGAGCGAGCTTTCGTTGTCGTCAATAAATGGGTCCAACGGTCCACAACCATTCCGAAACGGAAACGTCCCGTGAAACTTATCTATATAATAATACTTTCGATCATTGAGACTCGCACGGTTTCGTGAAACATCTCGCGGATCGATCGATAATTTTTGGATCCATCGTACCACTCTGACTGTTGAGAAATCAGAGCAGAAAACGAGGCACGATGTCTGCGGTGTGGGTGGACAAGAGGCGACGACCCTGTAAAATCAGTGGTCAAGGTCCCATAATATTCGTCTTCTAGCGCGTTCGTGACCGTGACCACTTCCTAACTCGGTGACTGGTACACGAAACAGGAACGCGTGTACGTATGTACTGTTCGTTAGGATGACCCACTTCGATCGGCTCGATTTCGGGGTTTCATCCACGAGAGGCTGTTTGGTCACGTCGTAACGTGAATCACGGTTTTCCTTGGCCAACGGAAGGGAACCGTAATAATATTCATCGATGGAATTCAGTCTCTCGTGACCTCTTTTTACCGTTCCTTCAATACCATCGTTATGAACGCGATGTACGTACGTGTTCGGTCCTCGAGATACATTAATTCGAATCCTCTCGGATACATTTTCTACTTCCTCGATAATTAAATAATTATTTTTAATGAGAGAAGGTCTAGTTAGAAATGTAATCGAACTTTCGGTAATCTTCCTGCTCGTCTTATTCGTTATTGAAACGTTATAATAAAACTGCGGTTGACGACCGAACGTTCGATTCTGTTGTTTTTTAATAAACGAGATCAAATTAGAGCGCTCAACCGGTTCCCTCGATTTTTAACACTTTGTTACATACAGCGGGCTTGTCACGCACGGAACGGTCTGAGATTTTTGATGCAGTAAACTCGGTCTAATTGTAACGGTACCACGATCACTCGAACATATTCTAATTGCCTACCTCGAAACATACCCGCTCTCGATTGATCGTTCCTTTATTTTATGAACAGAGAACAGAAGTAATTAAAAAATATCTACTTCGAAACAGAATAACGGATAATTTATTATGATATTAACTCTACCTTGATTGAAGCGTAAAATAAACGTGAACGTTCTCCAGTGGTCGCCGAACGACCTTCGGGGTTCCCAGGCACTCACAGCTCCATGTACTCGACCCTCGAGTTCGCCACTCTCGTTTTTCCTCTTCTCGTCTCGCGAAGAACGCGATCGAAGTTCGCGAGCGAATTGTACGTGCGACGGGTGTACGAAAGCTTGCAGCCTTGGCGGAGGCTCGCACGTCGACTGAGGTCCCCGGATGACCAGGTGGTAGAAGGAAGACGACGGACAGTGACGGGAGGACGAAGAGGTGGAGGCCCCGATTGATGCGAGCAAGACGAAAGTCAGGGGAAGAGGGTCCCGAAAGATTCTCTCGTCTCAATGAAAGTCCGAGCGCCGATTCAACGACCGGGTCTCCGGAATATCGCCTGACTTCCGTTACTTACCAGTTTCCTTCGCTGAATGCTCTGCGGAAAGAAAATTGAATCAGTTTTTCCTGAATCGATCTACGATCGACAGAGACAAATGTCCGTACATCGAAAACAGTGCTACTCGATGTTCAAAGCTTCCAGTTTCAAGCTCGACGTTTCTTTCTCATTGAAATACGCTCGAGTGAACAGGGGCAAACTTTCCACGGTCTTCTCATAGCGTATCAATCGTGTTTCTATATTCTTTCGTATTCCTTCGAATCCATGGTAACGCGATACGTGCCGGTAGAACGAGGAAGGAAGAGAAGAGATGCTCCTTCCATGGTAAACAGGTGGTGGAGGTAAGGAGAGGAGGAGCAGTTGAATCTGACTAATGGACGGCGCAGAGTCGACGGAACGGTACGCGGAACAGTTAGACGATGACCCACATTGCCGGGTAGTCGCTCAGGGCCGGCCAACGTACCAGTTTCTTCGACCTTACCCTCCGTTAACGCACGCTAGGCGCTCTAGGATCATGCTAAAATTGTTTAATCGTCGGTTCCGATCCCCCACCTCTGCTTCCACTCTCTTCGAAGCGCGTCCTCTCGACGCTTCCTACTTCACAACACGAAAGTTCGCGGTTCCATTTCTTAGAACTATTCACTATTATTATATATTCTTAGAACTATACCCTCCTTCAATATCTTTCAACGACCATCGGGATAGGACAGTTTAAATACACTTTATTCATGCAACATTCTCGCGTGGCTATTTCTTCCTTCCTTTCTTTACGACAGACGCTGGTGCCGGTAATGGAACTTTCAACGTTACGATCTTCTTGTCATCTTTGTTCGGTAGAGCACCAATGATTCTGGCGAGATCCGTGAGCTTCTTCAACCCCGTCCGATGCGTGAATATCGTCGCGAACGATTCCAAGTTCAGGGTGAAATTACAAATGATCAGAGCTAGAATTATACAATGGATCACTCCCTTGTCCTTCACACTGTTTGGTCGGAGCCTGTGAACGTAAGTTATCGAATCAGAGAAATATCTTTTCCATACATTCGTTTTTAACGTACCGTCCGTGATTACTCTGGACGCTGTACGTATCTATTATGTGCGCGTTCACTTCGTTCGACGCTGTACAGACGTCGATATGCTTTTTCTTAGCATCTTTAATCGGCATGTTCAACCATGTAGCGATTGCTTGGACGTAAAGCAACAGCGCGGTCTTTCTAACTTTGTCTGGGTCCGACTTCAAGTATTTGAACGTCGTACGGAAGAATTTCGATTTCCTGAAAGATCGATAGACGTGTATTGAGGGAGTATCAAAATGAAATCGGAGCCATTAAAGAGCAAACATACCCTTCTAAACTGGTCGAATCGTTGTCTAACATTTCTGTAACTGTATCGTACAAGGTCTTTAGCTTGTTCTCTGGAACAATATCGTGCACATTGTATACGTCGTTTACATTGGCCGCTTCCCTATTGCAATCTGGTAACGCTGAATTCGTAATGAATTCGTTGTCCGGTATCTGTATCGATAACTCCATTCTGTCAATCTCGACGTCTGTAAGAATAGATTTTTATCTCACGATCAGACTTGTTGAGATTTTCCAGCTTTTGAACATTGATAAAAATAGATCTTTACTAGATACTGTTTGCTCCAGCTGTTCCTTAACACTGTCGACGTTAAATTTTAATCTTTCATACTGTTCCGTCCTTCTCTTTACTCTCTTCGAGCCAAACTGTTTATTCAACATAGCGATCTTGTCGTCATCGGCAGCTTTATTGTCGTCCACTGCCGGTTTGTCTAACACCGGAGCGACCTGCCACCGTTCGACCTGAACGAGTCTCACTTTCCCTGTTCTTCTATTGTGAAGCACTAACATAGTGCGCATCAGGTCTTCGCTCGTGTCCGGTTTGTAACCTCTGTAAACGATCTGTCCATTCGAGAGAGCGAGCATCGTTTTGTTTTTCTTCTGATCGAAATACAAACCGCATGACATCTTCTTCGCAGCCTCATCTTTGAGCTCTCCGTTTTGAAAGTTCACTGGAAAACAATTGTTAAACGGTTTATACAGTGCACAGTGTCACGTGTACGAGATGCATCTTCGATCATACAATAGCGACGAAATTATCGAAGGGAATGACTGTTGCGAATAATTGATCCAAACGGGCGATCATACCAGGATTGTTAATAAAAATATCAATAGTTTTAATTGAAAGATCTTCGAATCGGGTTAAGTACCGAGTAATCAGCTTTATGAAAATGTAACGATTACCAATTATCGGCTGAACCTTGGATGGTTCTACGATCACGTCTTCGATAATCGCGTCAAGTCGATGTTCCATTTTTCTTTGAAATTATATATATATTCTTCTTTTTTCTTGTTCGTAATGTTTGAAATTTTTAAACGCTTGCTGATCAGCGGAGCGTACGGAGCTCTCTCACGAGTTTCATCAAGTCTCAATACTGCTCAACGCACGGCGTTGTCATCGAATTTGTCGACGACGCGCCTGAGAAAACGTTCTACGTTTGCGTGCCCTATGCCGCTGTCTATAGAAGTTATGTCAATCGTGCAATTCGTGCATGTCCTCCTGCATTGCAGCTGATTGCAGCAGGTCCATATTGGTGCTGCGTGGGAGTCCGTCTGTGCAAGGGATTTTATCAAAAAAAATGTCAGCAATGGTGAGTTTTCGACGAGAGAACTGCCCTGACATGTTATCCTTTGCCTCTCGCATTCAGTCCCGACAAATGTATCGTGCGTTCGATTGAAAACTCACTTATGAATAATTCGTACCATCCCCTCCTTGACTTGAGTTTCGTCAATACTTGTAATTGTGAAAACGACATTTACTTTCAACGAAGAAAATCCAATGTGTACTCGAAATTGAAAGATTGATTTTGGTTTTCACAGCGGATGAAAGCGGTGAGGTGTCCTACTGACGAACTCAGTATTTCGAATTGTGCTATAATCAGTGAGGATGACTTTCCGGATGATGTCAGGTAGAGATTTTATCTTCTGATTAATTCATTGATCTCATGCGCGTAATAAGATTTAGAGCTTAGACCAGAAGTATATCTACGTGTAGAATGTATATAGCGCGTTTGAACTTGCAACTAATTGAATTGCTATGCAACTTACAACCTGTACTTAGATACATCTGTACTAAAAATTGAACGGATGTGAATGAAACATTTCGGCGTTACAGAATTTTCATAGATTGTGAAGAGTCGAATGTTTTTCAGGCATATCGAGGTAACCACCGCGCCGAATCAACATTTTGTATTTACCGTAAGAAGGCATCATGATATACCGAGGGGAACCGTGGGATTCAGTTTACCACAGAGGAAGTGGGCCACCCTGTCTCTTAATCAAGACATCGAAGTTCGACCATATCATTTCAATCCTACCTCGAGCACAGAATGCTTGTGCACCATCGTTCTGGAAGCAGATTTCTTGCAGAAGAAATCGTACGCGAAACGATGCCATTATACTACGACGTTGTTTATTTCAGCACTACTCTCGATGGATACTGCGATGCTGTCTGTTTTAGGACTACTCTGGAGCCATACAACACCGACGAGATGGCCAAGGATTTCCTATTGCAGTTTTCTGGACAGGCATTCACCGTGAGTCAGCAGCTGGTGTTTCAGTTCAAGGACAAGAAGATGCTCGGCCTCGTGGTCAAGAGTCTGGAAGCTGCCGACCTGTCCGCTATAAGTTCTGGACAGAACACGGTGCCTAAGAAGACGCAGATGGGACGCTGCCTGGGCGACACCGTGATACAGTTCGAGAAGGCAGACAACTCGAGCTTGAATCTCGTCGGCAAAGCGAAAGGGAAAGTGGTTCGGCAGTCGATCATAAATCCGGACTGGGACTTCCAGAAAATGGGAATCGGCGGATTGGACAAGGAGTTCAGTGCCATATTCCGAAGAGCGTTCGCGTCGCGAGTCTTTCCACCAGAGGTTGTCATTCAATTGGGTTGCAAGCACGTGAAAGGAATTTTACTTTACGGGCCACCGGGTACCGGTAAGACGTTAATGGCGCGACAGATAGGGACCATGTTGAACGCTAGGGAGCCGAAAATCGTCAATGGGCCTCAGATCTTGGACAAATACGTCGGTGAGAGCGAGGCCAACATCAGGCGATTGTTCGCCGATGCCGAAGAGGAGGAGAAAAGGGTATGACGAGGTGTCTCACGGTATCTTTGGGAAATGACCTCGATTGACGTACGTCGATTTTCAGCTTGGACCAAATAGCGGCTTACATATAATTATTTTCGACGAGATCGACGCGATTTGCAAGTCTCGAGGTAGCGTTGCTGGAAACACGGGAGTTCACGACACTGTCGTGAATCAGTTGCTCGCAAAGATCGACGGCGTAGAGCAATTGAACAATATTCTTGTCATCGGTATGACCAATAGGAGAGATATGATCGACGAGGCACTGTTACGACCCGGTAGATTGGAGGTAGTACCACTTTTTATAAACGTTTTAGACAGAAATAGTGTCGAGAGATCATCATTCGGACGAACTTCTATGCGTTCGTAGGTGCAAATGGAAATCAGTTTGCCAGACGAACACGGCCGATTGCAAATTCTTAACATTCACACGTCCAGAATGAGAGATTACAAAAAGATAGCACCCGACGTTGATCTGAACGAATTAGCTGGGTTGACTAAAAATTTCAGTGGCGCCGAATTAGAGGGTTTGGTGCGAGCCGCGCAAAGTACTGCCATGAACAGATTGATCAAAGCTTCTAGTAAAGTGGAAGTGGATCCTGCCGCGATGGAGAAACTCATGGTGTCCAGGACTGATTTCATTCACGCTTTGGAAAATGACGTTAAGCCCGTGAGTAACGTTACAGGGAAGCTTGAAACAAGCTGACACATTTCGCTCACGTCAAGCTGACTTTTCTTGCAGGCGTTCGGTACGAGCGCAGAAATATTGGATCAACTTCTCATTCGTGGGATTATTAACTGGGGAAAACCGGTGGCGGAAATTCTGTCCGATGGGAATCTGTACATTCAAGAGGCTCGCGCTACCGAAGGTTCTGGCCTGGTCTCCGTTTTGGTAGAAGGACCGCCGAACAGCGGGAAGACGGCGCTTGCTGCTCAAATAGCCAAGAACTCCGATTTCCCGTTCGTCAAAGTGTGCACACCGGAAGACATGGTCGGTTACACGGAATCTGCCAAGTGTCTTTTGATCCGGAAGGTAGACAACTAAAATCACTGTGCCGCGTAAAGATAGAACGGGAAGAGATAGGATCATTCGTATCCTTATCGTTCGTGTTCTTTCAGGTATTTGACGATGCGTATCGTTCGCAGCTTAGCTGCATCTTGGTCGACAATATTGAACGCTTGTTAGATTACGGTCCCATCGGGCCCCGATACTCTAATCTGACCCTACAAGCGTTACTAGTTCTACTGAAGAAACAGCCACCGCGCGGTCGAAAATTGTTAATTCTCTGTACCACCAGTCGCAGGTAGAGTATATTGAGATACGAGAGACTCTTGGAGTCGCAAAGATGATGATCTTTCATCGATCAACGTTCGTTCTGTAGGCAAGTTTTGGACGACATGGAAATGTTGTCAGCATTTAGTACGATTCTTCACGTACCTAATCTGTCGACCTCTGATCATCTTTTGAGCGTCCTAGAAGAAGTGGAACTGTTCTCCAAAAAAGAATTGGCATCTTTACACTCGAAGCTACAAGGAAAACGGTACGTCGTTCTATTACTACGCTGATCGAATGTTCGAATGTTACGAGCATAATTTGTACGTTCTTTTGCAGAGTATTTATCGGTATCAAAAAGTTGCTGTGTCTGATCGACATGGCGCGGCAAGTGGAACCAAGATACAGGGTGCCGAAATTCCTGTCGAAATTAGAAGAGGAAGGTGGTCTAGAGTAATAAGCGTTCATTCTGTAAGTATTTATCTGTAGAAGTGAATTAGACGTCGTTCGCGGAGTAGATTTGCATTTAAATATAAATTAATTAAAAAGAAGAAGAGACGCGATCGTCGTGACAAAGTACGGAAGAGTCGTTGTAGGGACACTTATGCATTTCAATAGTTTACGGATGTTCGTACGTCCTACTTAGAAGTCGCATTTCCTGCTTAGTTTCTTCGAAATAATTCATCATTTAGAACTCTCTGCCGACATTTAGCGTGATGCAGACCCGTGATGGGTCTGATGATGATGATGATGATGATGATGATTTACAAGTTTTCGAATTTAAAAAGAGAAATCGCATTGAGAATGTACAGCCCAAATGTAAAAAGGAGAGCCTGAAAGGGGGAGGACTTTTTTTGTTAGATAAGAATAGATACGATCCAGTTTCTCGGGAAAGCGCATGAAAGAATACTTCCACTTTAACTTATTTTGTTACGTTATACAGTAAAACGTCATTTATATGTCATATCTTCAACAGTAGTTATTTATTTATTAGTGAACTCACGCGTCAATGCGTTTATTGTAATGTGTCCTTTGTACGTAACGTACACTCGCGATCTGTATAATTGAGTAGCGTACACGGTGTACTTATTATGATCGTTCGAAGTTCACTCTGTGATTCTTGTTATAAATGTATGTACGTATTCTGTTATCGATGTTAGTTTATTGTGCGTTAGTAACTCGTAACTTAGACGTGAAACCATTCCAAGACAGAAAGATCCTATAATATATACTTACGTGCAAACATTTATTTTGTCGTACTAATCGAGGAGTAGAATGTTTTATTTAATTTTTATTGAAAGCGGGCGAGCAATTATTTTCATTTTACACAAATCGATATGTAAATCTGTAATTATCCTAGGCAAGTGATTTATTCTAGGTTTTAGTTTGTAGGTACCCATTGAAACGTTGAGTAATCTTCGTTCGACCCGATATGTATATACATATACAGTTCAAATCGTTTCACGACGAGGAAACATGTATACACATGCGTATACCAATAATCAATTCCCGTTGTTAGGCTTGGAAAGATCCTGTAATATGAAATATGTCCGCGTGTTTTGCAAAAACTCTGTACGTGTTAACATACCGCAATAACCGATTCACGAACATGTACGTAATATGTGTATAAAAGTTAAATAAAATCGACTTAAACAGAAAGTTCGTAGCTTCTTTTATACAGACAGGTATTTGGATACAATGTTTTACAACAATTTTAATCTCTCATAGAATCTTCGTCCGAGTGTGCGTGTGCAGCGCACGTTCTATTTATTAAAATTTTATTCAACTTCGATTAACAAATGTAACATCGCATTAACCACTACAGCGGTATTAAAAATTATATTTAACGATTAATATCAGTAAATTATCTCCTAAAAATTATTTTAAGTATTTCGAGTTTTAAACGATGGTACGATGGTTGAACAACTTCAAGATCGTTGTATCTGTTTCAGCAGTTTACCTTGCTTGCGAATTATGTGTACTTATGCGATTAACAAATTTACAAGTGATCATTGTGCGCGCGGAATAGATCGGATTAATGGTTTATAAAAAATAGTACGCGCGTACCCTTGCTTTCGAATCTACTATCAGTTTTGTCGATCGTGTCCTGCGAAGCAACAAGGTAAGATTTTAATCATCAGATTAATTTAACGTAAACTCTTCTGCCATTCAATCCTCACCGTTTCTCTCCATTCTTCGCGCAACTAAACACATGGAATCATAGTTCCCTGTGTATTCATAATATGTACAATCAGAAAAGATATATAACTATTCCTTGTGTGTGTGTGTATTTGTGTGTGTATGTGCTCTCAGTACTTGGCAGTATTCAGGCACCTTAATTCCATTAAGGAAAGAACAATTCATATTTATAGTATGTATACACTTTCTATCAGCTTCATTTTACACGATATCCATATTATAACATCTCATCTTCGTGTCGACCGTTCGTCGCTCAGAAGAAATAAGCACATTGCATATACTATTATTATACCGATGCTCGTTCGCTCTTTGAAGAACAACTTCTCATCCTTCCGTAATAAAAACTTGTATTAATATTTCTTCCGTGAAATAAACAATTCTGTCGTGGAAGCGTATTACAGATGCATCTCTGCCACCGGGACTGGTCGCGTATCAACCAGCAAATTTACAATTCGTACTCGAGATATTGTACGTACGCACATGGGTAATATGCGTTCCTGTACAAGGATGATTTTATCACACTCCATCGACGATACACCTCGTTAAAGCGCGAATCTGTGGCTGCTTGGTACGAAAATGAAAACTTTCAAAGCCGACGTAGAAACGAATGATGTCGTATTTCAGCCTTAGTGATAATCAAGTACGATTTGACAGTATCTATTGTAAGTGTACGTGAAACGATCCTCCAACCCTGCCCCGCGATCTTTTCGTGTCGTAGCCGGAGTCGATGTCCGCATTAAGTGACGATACAAGCGTTACGTTTAAGTTTACAAGTCGTTTCACAATGGACGATACTATAATATGTACATGTTCGCAGTCTACAAACACAGATTGTTGTTTTTCCTTTTTTTAAATAACAATTACTTATAAAACGTTCTATCGAAGGAGAGGTATCAATCGAGGAAAACGAGTTTTATGACACGCGTTCGATATTAATCAGCACCACGCAATCCTTACCACGTTCGAATAATCTGTGTTTTAGTCCTCCGTTGTAACATCGACTAATAACGAGTTCTTTTCATTTTTATTTTACACCTCGTTTTATTGATGCGTTGCGCATAAGTATTTAACAAACGAATATTTCCTGCTTTCTACCGAGGCTGACGAAAAGTTGGACAAACGCTTCTTTCCATCTATTGTAACAACGACGTCGAACAATATTGATAAAAGATACGTTTTTCTTAGTGCAATTTCGTTTGGATGTCAATTCTGTTTAATCGACGATTAGAAAAGTAACGTTGAAGGCGACCTGACAATTCTCTGTACTACCATTTTGATTTTCTCGTCACCTGAATTGAAACGCAAAAGAAAAGAGAAGAGTTATAGAAAAAAGAATGTTGAACGACGCATACCCTTAGTAATTGTAACTTCATCGTATGGCACATGAAAGAAAATCACTTTATTTCGATATCGAGTCATCAACTTCATAATTAATAGATCATGGAGAATTATCTACTATGACTATTTAATATTAATATCACAAATGTTTACGTTTAATGTTATTTTTCATCTTTTTTCCGGTTTTCAATTTTTCATTCGAAATTTTATACTCAATTCGAGCCGCGCGTAGCTAGTCTACCCTAACACCGTTTCAGCGTTTATTCATCAATTTTTCAGTCGTCTCCACCACAGAGAAACTTCACATCCGACGTGTTCAGTCAGGATGGTATGTAATAAAAAAATAAGCGTGTGTCTGCGCGTGACAATAAGTCAAATCACGATGGCTTACAGGAGGGGAATTTCTTAACGTTAATACACGAAATCGGTTTGCGCCATCTCCGTTTGCTCTGCTGCGAATTTGGTTTACTGTTGTGACTATTCCAAGTAGCTTTTTGGTCTTCACTGATTCTATCTTCCACTTCTTGAAGCCGTTTCTCTTCTGAATGAAAAGAAAACCAATCACGTTTAATATCCGTCTACATCCTACGTCCACGCCAGGGTTATTTTTACGCCGATGCAAATGTGAGTTAACATCCATGGTGCAAATCGTGCAAAATTCACAGAACGAAAGATTCGTTTTAATACTACCATGACACACACACACACACACACACACACACACAGTTTCAAGGTATGCGTAATAACACATTGCGAAAGCTAACTTGCAGCAATCGAGTGAGATCGTCAAGTTAAGACGTTTAGGTCGTATTAATTCATTTGTAATCGTTCGATGTTAGAAAGTGAATAGGGGGCAAAATATGGGAGGGTGTACACTATAAAGAGAGTAGTACCCTTTCCTTTCAGCTCGCAACATCATAGGTAGACTTTATAAGCGTGACTTTGTTACAGAATGGTGCATGTCTTTGAAAGGAATACTAGTAGTCGATTTGAAAAAGATTGTTCGTTATTCCGTTTAGAATCTGAAAAGCAAAAGCTGTATTTTATTCAAGTGTCCATGTGCCTTCCATTGAAAATTTTTACGTGTACAAGCCAGTTTTAAATCTTCCGTCACAATAAGCAAAGTCAGGTGTTATGCTGACTTTTAATCACGACCTCTGTCGTCGAAAGCTATTCGACGTAGGTATGTAACAGTGTTAATATTCATTTCATCGAAGACGCGTCCGAGGTACGACGAACTCGGGGCCATAAGTATCGATATAATATGTTTTTAATGCTCTCATGCTCGTCTTACCTTTGTCGTGTTTGTCAGTGAACAGAGATAAATATCGAATACCATAGCAACAGAAATCGAAGCCGTGATAACTAACACACAGTAGGATGCAAAAGGGAACGTGAACGAGCGCGTACCGTTCAGCTGATGTTCCGTGTAATAGGTAGGATTGTCGTCACCTCCGTAATGATATTCCATCAGGTACGGTAGTACGGTCATACTGTGCCAATTGTGTCCTTTGAGGGGAGGTATAGGCACTTCTTCTTGCGTTCTAGGATATCTACATACGGTCCACGGATGTCTCTTAACTTGTTGCAATGTGAACCGTTCATCCGCATTCTTTTGTAACATTCCTTGTATGAGAGATCTCAGCGATTCCTCCACCTCTTCGGGTATCGTGTATTCGCCTTTCCCAATGTTCTCATACAATTTATAAATATTATCACCTTGGAAAGGGTATTGACCCGTGGTTATATTGTACCTAAAACGAATAGACGAACACTCGGGTCAATGGCGGAGATTATGTAATCGCGAGAAAAGTGTGAAAGTCTACTTACAATGTAACTCCGCTGCTCCATATATCTACTTTGAAACCAGAAAATGTTTCACAGCCGTTTGCAATTTCGGGAGGCTGAAACGCCGGCGAGCCTTGCCCCATCTTACACGTATCGTCTTGGGTAAACATATCTAATGCCTGGAAGATAAAAGATTGTGTAAGCCGGTTGTAGACGTATTTACCCAAGAGACAGACGGCTATATAGATTCGAACGAGCGAACGAAATACCTCCGCGACTCCGAAATCGCTGATCTTTAAGGTACCGTCTAAAGCTAACAACAAATTCCCTGGTTTTATATCTTTGTGTACTATCCCTTTACTGTAGAGGTATTCTAAACCGTCCAACAACTGACAGAAATAGTCATGTGCTTGCCAGATCGGAAGCTTCTTGAGAGGCGTGCTTCCCAACATATCCTGGAAAGAAACAAGTCTCATGAGTAGAGATCTAATCGATTCGAATCGCATGCAAGCGTTCGCATAAAACACCAGTTCCTTTTTAAATTCATAAAAGTACGACGGTAGACGCTAGATCGCAAACAACTACTGGACAAGACAAAGTATTACTTTATTTCATATGCTGTTTTACAGTTTAGAGAGTAACGTGTTTGAAATTGTCATTCTTTTCCCGTTCTCTTATCGAATCGCTCTGTTAGTTATTAATGTACTAGCAAAAGGGATTTGTTATGAACGTTTAGAAAATCGTTAGGAACACTTATAAATCTCGAATTAATTCTATCGGTAGTTCATCTGAAACTTGAAACACGAGTCAAATATCAATTTATAAAAGTACTTGTGCGTAACACAGATTCTAAAATAAACCATAGAAGGCTTTGGAACTTTACCTGTAATCCACATACACAAAATTCCATAACTAGGTACATCTTCTCCTTTTCATCATTATATAAAACATCTACAAGGTTAATTACATTCTTATGTTTTAATATCCTTAATAGTCTTATCTCCCTGTTAACGAATGCGAACAAATAGTATTTAGAATTCTAGAAAGTAATCTATCGCTTAAAAACAAAAAAAATATATTACTTTTCATCGTGTATCAGTGTGGTCATTTTTAGAAAGCAGGAACGACGTTACGTTAATTGCAATGAGTCGCGCAGCACACGGTGTCCCGTGTAAAAAGTAAATTACGCTTACGCTTACACGTTTGAATTTTTAACATTGTCATACGTGTGTGATCAATGAGATATACGTACGATGTGTACGCGTTCGAATGAAATAAAAGTTAATCGAATACAGAGTCTCTAGAACAGAACTTCTCGCGACACTAGTCGCGTAAAATTTATCATACCGTTCGCGCGAAATTTATCATACCGATCTCTACGTTATTTATGCTCATTGCGTGCAGGTGCGGTATGAAAGCAAACGTTCGTCTTTCCGTTTAAATAACAGAGAATAGACCGTCTGGGATCGTGGCCAGAGAACTTGACAGGTCGTGTACGCTGTCGTCAGCGAATAGGTGGGTAATAGTATGTGTCTTTTGGTGGATTTCACTTAACGTCTAGGTAAAGCAAAATAGGAATATTAAAATTAATTTGTCGTACCGTTGAACATTAAGCTCTCCATTTGGGATTCTACGAAGTTTCTTCCTTTTTAAGATTTTCACGGCTCTTCGACAAAGTGTCTCTGAGTCCAGCACTTCTTTCACCTTTCCGTAACTACCTTCACCAAGAACATCACCCATAACATATTTACCGATAAATTTGCATTTCTTCTTTTTCTCTTCGTATATAATCTGATCTGAATCCACCCTATGGAAGAACATGTTGATCTCGTCCAAATCATAGTTCGGATCATCGTTGATCCACGTGACTGGCTCGATATCCCGAAATATTTCATTGTTAATTTCTTCTTCGCCCAGGTCACATATCGAGATCCTATTGTCCATCTTTCACAATGCTAATATCGGATTTAATTTAATCGAAAACCACACGCAACTTAAACCTAAAACACGACCGGCACCACCATTGTTGTGAATTACAGCTGTGCCCTGTGCCTACATGTACTACGCGATGCCAGACAGATGCCACTGCGGCTTTCTGATAATGTAGATAGTAGAGAGAGAGAACACGCTGAGAACAGTGAGAACGCGATCGTCGCACCAGTTCCGGAACACGCATGTATACCGGCTATATAGACTGGCGCTTTGATTTCAAAGTCGACCGCGACGTTCATTTATTTCCTTCGCATTTCTCGTCTACTGTATATACGCATATAAATATGCACACTTCTATTTTATCTTTAAACGATTAAAAGATATTTCGAGACGCAGAGAAGAGCCAGTTGAAAGATGTCAGATGTATTTATTTCATTTCATCGTAGGCTGTTATAAATAAATGTTGCACACACGCAACGTTTAAGTAATAATGTTGTTTAGTTCATTTCAGTCTACTAGTATTTGTAAAACGCAAGCGTTTTATGAAAGTGTTGTAGTTTTATAATATTAGGATATTTTACGAAGGAATCGAGGTCAGGTACCGCCGAGTTACAATATATTTTTCTAATATCGATAGCATGCCGATTCGATCTCGGTATCAATAATTTCATAAACAGTATTCACACGTTCCATTTAAAAAGAGGAATCTTATTCGGAATGCTCGTCGCTCGTTACAACGTCGTATTCCTT